GGGGGGGGCGGCGGGGCGGACGAGGACGACGGCCCGGTGAGACCGCGGTCGAGGACGAGCGCGGAGACGTCGCGGGTGCGGTGTGATGGATGTCGGTGCACGCTGGCGTATCCGGCGGGCGCGGCGGCGGTGCGGTGCGCGGTGTGCGGGACGGTGACGCGGTGCGAGACGGGCGCGGGACGTTTGGACGGCGGACGCGCGGACGACGCGAGCGCCGCTCGAGGTGGTCCCGCGACGACGGCGCTGACGATGGAGAACATGGTGGTGGTGGAGAATCCGCCGACGTTGACGGTGGACGGACGAGTGGTGACGAACATCGCGGTCGGGGTGAAACTCGACGATTGACTCGACGGTCGCGGACGAACGACGCGACGGTCGCGACGCCGACGACATTTAGAGTCGGACGTATCGGATTCAATTTTTGTTGTACAGAACCTGATGGTATCTACTTTACAAGCGCGTGAACGAAGCGCGTGTGAAACGCCGCGCGCGTCTAAAACGTACCGGCGCCGACGCGTTATCCACATCCACTCGGCGTCGCTATAACTTAATGCGTCGCGTGGGGCGTCCCCACGCTCAGAGTCTCTCGATCTCGGCAATCCTGAACCCAAGCGAGATGTAATTCGACTCGATGTGTCGTATCGCGTTCGGCATGTCCTCGAACTCTGGTTCGCGATTGAACCGAACCAAGAAATTCATCCGCCAGCGATACAACAGTCTCGCCAAACGCACGTGTTCGAGCACGTGTTCCCCCAAAAACGCCTCGTACGCCGACCCACCCGGCGCGTACGCGCTCGCGTCCATCCCCGCCTCTCGATACCTCCCCGCCGTGATCTTCATCGCGCGCAATCGTTCCCCGAACGCCGGATCCGGCGTCGCCCCTCCCATCCGTCCCGTCGCCAACCACGCCCCTCGATACTCGAACCCATCGCTCTCGCTCGCGCTCAACCACCGATCGACCACGGGTGCGGACCCACGTCCCTCGCTCGCCCCCGCGCGCCCGTCCTCCGCGCGCGCGTCGTACGTCCACTCGTGTCCGAGTTTTTCCCGATGCGTCGGTCGTCGTCCGCGCGTCGCCCCCGTCGGGCGTCGTCCCCGTCCGTCGTCCGCGCGCGCGCGCACGCGCGTGGACGTCGAGCGCCCGCGCGCGGGCGCCGTCGAGCGCATGACGCGCGCGGCGAGACGCGACGCGGCGAACGACGTCGACGCGCGCGGTGGCCTCGAGGTGGATTCGTCTCATACAGTGCGATCGCGGACCTTTTGGGTGGATTCGTCTCATACAGTGCGACCGCGGACCTTTGTGTGCCGCCCGACGGACGGCGCGACGTCGACGACGCGCGACGCGCGCGCGGCACACGACGCGCGGACGTCGACGAGCGGGGACGAACGTGCGCGCGCGCGATCGGACGCGGCGCGGCGACGGCGGCGTGAACGGCGACGGTGGACGCGAGGACGTGTCGGGGTGGAGCTTTGAAATTTTGAAAATCGACAGACGGGGAATCCGTGCGTGAAACGGTGACGCGGTGCCGAGAGCGAGGGCGAGGACGTGGCGCGGAGGCGGGTGAGGGGTACGGATGCCGCCGCGGGCGCGGAAGAGCGGAGCGTCGGAACCGGTGACGAAGCGAGGAGGGAACGAGAACGCGGATGCGAGCGCGCCGGCGAAAAAGAGCCGAAGCGGAAAGCGAAAGAAGAAGCCGGTGGTGGAGTCGGAGGCGCTGCGTAATCGAAACGAAAACGCGGGTGCGGTGAGTGATCGAGGCGCGGATGAGGAGGGGGAGGAGGTGAACGGTGATTTGTTTGACTTGTTGCGGGTCCAAGGCGCGGCGGTGCTGTTGCTCGCGAACGAGTGGCGGGCGAGGTACAACTCGAGCGATATCACGGCGATCGCCGAGGTGTTCTCGCTGTTGACCAAAGCGGCGGGATGTACGACGGGCGTGACGGCGATGGAGGTGCAGCGAAGCGACTGCGTGACCATCATGAATCGCGTCATGGAGGACATGGTGACAGGGAGTCTGTACGGCGAAGATCCGCTCGCAAAGCGTTCGCAAGACTTCAAAGGGTTCCGCGAGAACTTTATGGAGTTTACCGATAAACTCATCAAAGACACAGCAGAAGGAGAAGAGCTGTTCGACGGTCGGCTGTACGCGTCCGTGGCGGAGATCGTGACCACGTGCGCGCAGTGCAAGGCGCGCCCCATGCGCGCGGCGGCGACAATGATGGGCTTGCAAATCATCACGAGCTTGATTTCAGTGGTGAACAGCTTGCAAAGCACCCGCGATTTGAAGCAAAACCAGCTGGATAATGAAACGAAGAAGAAGAATGGGGTCGATGCTGAAATTGTGAAGAGTTTGAAACGTTCGATTGAAAGCGCTCAGGAGCAAATCGAGCTGGTGGAGAACTACATCAACGACATGTTCACCAAGGTGTTCACGCACCGATTCCGCGACACGGACGAGCATATTCGCGCTATGTGCATAGCGTCGCTTGGTAAATGGATGTATAAGCACCAGCTCGTGTTTCTTACCGACTTTTACTTGAAGTATCTCGGTTGGAGCCTGAATGACAAGATGCCCGTCGTTCGTTTGGAAGTTTTGAGCGCCCTCAGAACCTTGGCTTCGAGTCAGTCTCACTTGGCCATGATGGACAGTTTCTTCGCTCGCTTTAGAGATCGCATCGCGGAGATGTTGCGTGATATCGATCACCAAGTTGTCGTGGAGGCCATTCGCCTCTCCGCCGTGCTGCACGAACATATCGAGCTGGCACCAGGGCACATGAAGTTTGTCACCACCCTCATAATGGACAGGCATCCGTCTATTCGTACCGCCGCGGCTCGGGCGACGAAAACGATCATGCCCGTGCTTAGCGAGACGTATCGCAAGGAGCGCGAGCTTTCGTCCGATCATTATGATGCGGCTGAACAGGAGCTTCACGGGATCGCGCAACTCCTGATCGACATCGGCGATGAAAATGGTGGCTACGGCAAGATTATCGATGGTTTGTTCGGGGTGTACGGCGTGCTGTCCGAACCTGGAACCCTAGTTACGATTCTGAAGGATACGGACATGGAAACGGCCGACGCTGTCATTATTGCGAATATTTTGGTGTTGGCGATGCGCAAGTCAATGGGCGAAGATGTGTCTAAACCGTTCAGTAAGACGGCCATCAAAATCAGCGCCAAGGCTAGGAACGCGATCGATGCAGCGCACGAGAAGATCACAAACGAAATCGGCCCGATCATCTCAGAGGCAATGGCGAAATATCAGGCGGAGTCCGGAGTGATTGGTCCGCTCGTCGAAGTGGTGCACTTCATCAAGCTTGAGCGCTTCGCTTTGAATCATGAAGAAGAACAGTTCACGGCCCTTGCGGAGCAAATTAAGGACATTTTCTTCAAGCACAGCGATAAACGCGTGTTGGAGGCGTGTAGTGAGGCTTTCAACTACTTCTGCAATGAAGGCTTCGAGGCGACTGCTCCGTTTGCGCAACCAATTTTGGACAGCACGATTCACGATTTGGCTTCTCGAGTTTCAAAGGTGTTGAAGCACGTTCGTGGATTAATGACGAAGGGCGACAAAAACCTTGTGAATGAGGACGAGGGGTACGCGTTCGAGCTCCGCATGAACTTGAACCGCGTCCGCGCTTTGATCTCGAAGTGTAACATTTCGAGCGGGGTGCACGTAGTGAACGAATTGTCGCAGTTCATCTCGGAGGTGGCTCGCTCGCCGATGCCAGCCGGAGAGGAGTCCGTCGCGATGGCGTGCTCTTCGGTGTCGTTTTTCCTCATTTGGCAAGCTCTCGAGCTTATGGATAGCGAAACTACGACGGCAACGCGAGTGAACGAACATCTTGCCGAGCGAGACGCCTTTGTCTCCAACATCATGCACATCTTGCGCCGCTCCACCGACATGTATCCTGATTCAGACAACCTCAGACGGTCCTTGATTGCGTCCATTTGCGATATGGTTCTGTACTACTACAACGCGAGCACGCTCCCGGCTGCTCATCCCGCGCGAAGCTTACAGTTACGCCTTAGTACTGACGACAGCGCGGAGGTTTGGCAGCACACGTCTGCGCTCATCACTCCCGATGACGCGCAAAAAGATGCCGATTTGGACTCGGCGCGTTTGGCATACCGCATCTCCATGCACGAAGAGAAAATCGCCGCAAACGGCGCTATCGGCGCAGACTTCTTGTCCAACTTCAAGATCACCGGACCTTGGGTCGATGCTGCGATTCGTACGTACTGCAACGACTTGCGACGAACTGGCCCCCAAGTGCTCGTGCGCGCCATTCTCACGGCTCTGCAGAGTGCGTATCACGAAGTGCTCCGAGCAGATCTTGGGAACAGGCAACTTCTTCTCGACGCTTTCGAGGATCTGGCGAAACGGCTGAGCGACATATTTGCGCTGTCTTCGCGACGTGATCGATTCGTAATTCGCATTCTGTTTGAAGAAGCTGTGGGCTCCATCCTTGTGCCCGAGCCCGTGTACGATCAGTTTTCTTTCCTGGCGCGTGGATTAGTACCCTTCCTTCCGAAGCTCTCGGCGGTGGATGGTAAGGCTTTGACGGTCGTCGTTGACAATGCCTTGACGAAAGTGGATAGCGAAGACGCGCGATCCACTCCTTTGATCGAGTTCTCTGACAAGTTGGCCGCGCGCTCCAAGGGCGCGTCGATGGAACGTCAGCGAAAGCGTGCTCCGTCCGATCCAGTGGATATTCGATCGCCGTTCAAGGTGTCGAAGACCGTGGATCCAGTAGAGCAGGAAGACGATATCGAAGATGCTGACGAGGGCGAAGCCACGGCGAATGAGCACACTTTGAATGATGGTCCGGTGGAGGAGAAACCGACTCGCAGCTCTCGACGTCGGTGAACGGCCGCGGAAACAGTACTTAGGAAACATGTACACGCACACACGATGCATCACATAGAAATGTAGGTTGCTTTTGTTACAAGACGATATGACATCACTTTATGGGTATAGGTTGCAACTCGTGCGCCAATCGCCTGCGAGTCGCGACGTCACCGCCGGGTGCAAGCTCTCCCGTCGCCGGCGTGTCGCCGCCCGCGGGCGCGTTGATGGCTCTCTCGATCGTTCCCGGGGGCGCGCGCTGTCTTTGAAGGTCCAATTCACCCATGAGCCTACCGAGCTTTGATAAAGCCTCCTGTAATCGAGCCTGAAGCTCGGGCATCTGCGCCAGATTCGCGTCCAACTCCTTGCGCAGCGCCTCCATCGCCTCGCCGTCCACGCGCGCTTCGGCTCCGCTCGATCCCGCATCGTCATCCTCCCCCTCCGCGCTCTCCACCGGTCGAAGTTCCATCAATCGTTCCGCGTAATTCTTCGCCACCTCACCCGGAACCGTCGCGCGCTGTTCCGCCACGCGCGCGCTCAGTTCCGCAACCTCCGCCTCGAGCGCGTCCAGCTCCGGATCCGCAATCTCACTCTCGCTCACCTTCCTCGCGCCCGCCTCCGCGCCATCACCTTCACACAAAACATTCGCCCGAACGCTCCCCAGGACGCGCTCCGTCATCGCGTACAGGTGTCGCTTCAGCGCTTTCGCGCGCGCCTGGTCCCATCCCGGGTCTCGCTTCGCCGCGTCCAGCGTCTCGAGCACCGCTTCGCACAGCTTCTCCTCGATCTTCGCCAGCTCCTCTCGGGAGCGCACGCGCACTTTCACCATCGCCGCCGCGCGCGATCGACCGCCGCGAGCTCGACGCGCGTCGCGCCCTCGCGCGCGGCGACGGACGCGCGCGGGGATTTGAATTTGAAATCGTTCCCCTGCGTCTGTCTCCGAGTGCACGAATGCGGACTCGTGGTATGAGTCAATGACTCAAGACGGAGAGACACCGATCCGTCGACGTCACCGCGTCGCCCCGACACACCCTCGCGCGCGTTCGAGGGCGCACGCGCGAGATGGCCGCGCGCGCGATCGCGGGAACGACGCCGACGCCGCGCGCGCGATGCGCGGCGTCGCGCGCGACGCGCGCGGGACGACGCGCGCGCGCGATGCGCGACGGTGGCGACGTCATCGAGACGGCGCGCATCGAGGCGGACGGTGACGCGCGCGCGCGCGCGGCGGTGAGCGCGTTGGCGCTCGTCGGTGCGACGGCGGTGATGCCGGAGGCGGCGCACGCGGCGGGTGGGGCGTACGGGTTGTTCGAGGGCAGAACGTTGGCGCTGTTGCACCCGGCGGGTTTGGCCGGGTTGTACGGCGTGACGCTCTACGCCGGGTGGCTCGGCTTGCAGTGGCGTAAGGTGCGCACGGTCGGTGACGAGATTTCGGCGTTGAAGAAGACGATGCCGGCCGACGCCGACGCCGCGGCCGGAAGCGCGGCGGCGAAGCAGATGGACGAGCTCACGGCGACGAGAAAAGAACTCATCGCGGGTAAGTTCAAGGATAAGCACGCGAACGCCGGGTACTTGCTCCTCGCCATGGGGGTAACCCTCGCGGTTGAAGGTTGCGTGAACACGTACTTGCGCACCGGTAAGCTCTTCCCGGGCCCGCACCTCTTTGCGGGCGCGGGGATCACCGTCCTCTGGGCCATGGCGGCCGGTTTAGTGCCGGAGATGGAGAAGGGCAACCAAAAGGCGCGCGATTTGCACATCGCGTTGAACTGCGTCAACGTTGCCCTCTTTACCTGGCAAATTCCCACCGGTTTGGAGATTGTTGGCAAGGTTTTCCAGTTCACTTCTTGGCCGTAGGCGACGCATAGAGCAGTGAACCTCGTGCTTCTAATTCATTTGTTTCCAAACTACAACTGCTAGTGCGCCTAACTAAGAACTATGTGTGTGCGCGTTTTGCTTCGACGAGATACCCCTGAATAGTGACGATGCCTTCGACACGAATCCAACGTTGTCGTCGCCGAGAGTGAACGGCGACGCAGTCGTGAGTGGAATGTCGTCAAAGTCTTCGTTTACGCGAGCGAAATTTCCGCGTTGCGTCCCCTTGGCATTGCTGTAATAGCGAAGAGCGGCCAGAAATGAAAGTAAGAGCAGCGTCAACATGCCGAACTGCGCGAGCGTGGATACTTTTGCCACCATGATGCGACTGTTTCCAGTCGACCCCTTGGCGAGCGAAATGTCGCTGCACAGAATCTTCACGAACTCGTCGCCGTTTTGCTCGAGAACGACGAACGACTTACCAACCACCGATACATCGCCACTTAGAGGCAGATTGCCGTCGGTGAACTGAAGGATCTTCTGGGAGAACACCTCGCTCTGTCGCGCAGACAGTTGGCCGACAGGACAGCTCTCAGCGAGTACATCGTCACGGTCGACGTCCGCGGCGCACAAATCCTTATCGAATGGATTGAACACCGCCCCCACTTTCGAGCACGACGACCCAACGCCGACCGAACCGGAGTAAATCCCCCATCGAAACCGTTCAGGCGCCGCGTCCGCCTGCGCCCGGTTGACCAACTGCACGGTCACCCACGTGTCCGCCGTCGGATCGTCCGCCGCCTGCATCATCGTCACCACTCCAGATATTCTACTTAACGCCGTTCCGAGCGTCGCCTGCGCGTTCACCACGCCCTCGTCGCCGTCCGCCTCAATGCGTCCGCACGCCAGCGGCGTCGTCCCACCCGTGTGTCCGTCGTCGCCGCCCCGCCAAACCACGAGCGTGCGCCCCACCACGCTCCGTCGTCCCATCAGAGGCAAATCTCTGATCACAAAGGCATTCGTCGTCCCGCTCGCGCTCGATCGCACGGGTACTTTCGCCCGCGCGCTCACGTCTCCGACCGCTGAACCGCCCGCGGCGCGCGCTTCGTCTGGGTCATACACCCCCCCCACGCGCGCACGCTCGCACCCCATCCCCCCCAATTCGTGCACGACTAACCGCACGTCCGTCTCCGGTCCCTTGATCACCGCTCGCGCGCGCGTGACGTCGCCCTCGTACCGCTGCGCGAGCTCAATCGTGAATTCCATCGATCCATCGCTCGCGCGTCCGCTCGCGCGCGCGCGTCGTCCGTCCACCGTCCGCGCGCCGAGCGTCGCGATCGCGCACGCGACGAGCGCCGCGCGCGCGATCGAGCGCCCGCGTCGACGCGCGCGCATGACGCGTCGCGCTTTCACGTCACGCGCCACCGCCACCGCGTCACTCTCTCGCGCGATGGGCGCGCGCGAGTTCGCGAGAACCCTCGCCCGGGCCTCGGCCGCGCGCGCGCGCGCGTCGGCGACGTCGTCGTCCGTCGGCGCGCGTGAGATGGAGCTCGCGGTGCGGACGCGGCGACGATGGGCGTCGTCGACGTCAACGCAACGTTATCGCTCCACGCCGAGCGCGTCGTCGTCGAAACCGGGCTCGCTGGAGACCGCGCGCGAGGTGAGCGATGAAGAGACGCTTCCCGCGGCGTCGATGTCGGGATGGCGCAGATTGGCGCTCACCCTGGGCGGGTACTTCAGCGAGGAGAGTCGACACGTCAGAGGAGGCGAGCGGCTGTACGCAGAGGTGAAGGCGGCGTCGTCGGAAGACGCGTTGTACGCCGCGCACGGGATCGAACGGACGTTTGCGAGGGATCATGCGGTGACGTGCCTGCACGTGTGGATGTGCCTGCAGCGGTTGCGCAGGGAGGGGGAGGATGGGAAGGATTTTAGTCAGATTTTTTACGACGCGTTTCAGGACGACGTGGAGAGGCGCGTGCACGATGCGGGCGTTCGCGTTCGAGTGCGCAAGTGGTTGCAGGACCTCGAGAGAACGTTTTATGGCAATGCTGTGTCGTACGATAAGGCGCTCGAGCTCGGCGGAAGCGAACTCGCCAGGGCGTTGCATCGGAACGTGTACGACGGCGACGGAGACGTGGACAAAGCCAAGGCGCTCGAGCGATACGTCCGGCATCACGTCGCGTCGCTTGCGATCACGCCCACGTCGGCCGTGATCGACGGCCGTATTAGATTTCAGCGATTTAATTAACTGTACCGGTATCGATTTAGGCGCTTTCATTCTTCGTCTTTCCATGTCAGTTTTCGTCTCACAAACGTCTAATACGGTCGACCGAAACGCGGCTTGTCACCGCCGCGGTCGCCGCCACGATCGGGACCGCCGCGACCGCGGCCACCCCCGCGACCACCCCCGCGGCCACCGCCTCGGCCACCGCCTCGGCCACCCCCGCGACCGCCGCCTCGACCACCCCCGCGACCACCGCCTCGACCGACACGGCCGCCGCCGCGACCAGCGTCACGATCACCGCCACCAGGACGCTCTCTGGCCTGGCCGACGAACACCGGTTCCATTTCCGGTTTCGGAGCGTCGGGATCTTCACCGCGAGCGATTGCCGCCTGCCGTTCCTTCTCGACCTTCTCAGCCTTTTCCTTCTTCTTTTGCGCCATGTAATCAGACTTGTGCTGCGTCGTGAGCTTTGCACCGTCAAACTCCAAGTCATCTCGCGCCGCGACCACCCGCGCCTCCTCTTCGGATGAGAACTCAACAAAGATACTTCCGCGAAAGTCTTTGCTCTGCGCGTGTCTACGCAGACGAATCGACTGCACCTTTCCGACGGTGTTGAAGTACTCCATCATCGAATCCATCGACGCCTCGCGAGAGAACGGCGCCGCGTACACGAACCGCTTATCCAGATCCTCAACCATCAATTTCCTGTACGCCTCCACGCCCTCATCCGTGGTGAGATCCGGCACGTGATCGCCGACCGTGAGCGACTTCCTCTTCACTCGCTTCCCGTCCGTCGCCTCCACGAGCGCGCTTCCCTCGAGCGCCGCCGCGATGCGCTCGATGTTCTTCACGTTTTCCTTACCCCCGTACGGCGCCAGAATATCGCGCATGCGAGAGAATCCAGCGATGAGCGCCAAATCAACCGCGCCTCCGTGTCCGTCTCGCGTCGCCCGAGCGACCTCTTCGAGCAAGAAACTGTCCCGAGGCAGGTTGGAGTCGCAAAAATAAAACTCAATCTGCTTCACAACCTTCTCCTTGGTGCTCTCGTCGAAGTCTTTGTCCTCCGCGCTCGCGTTCGCGCGCCATTCGTTCGTTCCGAAACGTTCATTCACCATCGCGCGTCGTCGTCGTCGTCGTCGAGGCGTGACGACCGCGCGCCCGCGGCGTCGCGCGACCGCCGCCGCCGATGCCCCAGATTTTTATGTCGCGAGACTCTTCTTGATTCATGAACCACGACGATGATTTCGTGAACCCTATCGTATGTAGATACTGTTTAGAACCGTGTGGGCATCACGTCGTCGCAAAGGGGATTCCACGCGATCTCCAGGGCGACGGGCGACGCGTCGACCGCACGCGTCGACGCGCTCGCTCGCTCGATCGATCGCGAACACCGAGCGCGGTCGTGCGCGCGGGATGGCGGGCGCGCGTGCGCGGTCAAAGGCGGACGCGGGGTCTAAATCGAAGACAAAGTCGAAGAGCGCGGACGCGGAGAAAACCAAGCGCGGCGCGCGATCGGGCGAGAGGGGCGCCTCGGCGAGAGACGCGCCGTCGGTGACGGAGGAGAATCGATTGAGAAGAGACACGGCGTTTTTGTGTCACGTGCAGTTCAAGAATGACCTGCCACCGGTGCCGGTCGATTGGAAGATGCTCGCGACTAGGGTGGATCGCGGAGCGTTGGCGGAGTACTCGCCGTTGTCGCTGTACGACGGGATGCGGCGAAGAGGCGATTTTAGTGAAGATTTAGGGATTCCGATTGATCCGGCGCTGATGCGAGCGTATCGAGTGCCGACGGAGCGAGGGGTGCTGGATCCGGAAGATCACGAGTTGTTATTGAACGCGGCGGAGCGGGAGACGAAGAGAAACACGGCGAACGGGGCGAGCGGCCGAGCCGCGAGCAGGCCGGACGCCTCGGACGCGCTGTGGTTGATGAACACGCAGTATATCTCTGCCGGGAAGATCAAGGCTCGCACGGGGCTGAGCGAGAAGGAAATGAAGCGGAGAAAGCTCGCGGCAAGCGGCGCGGAAGGCATGCCAGAGGATGAGCTCTCGTTCGAAGAGCAAGTGGACGCCACGTTCGAGGCGGCGAAGAAGCCGCCGGTGCACCCGACGATGAATGATATGGAGGTGGTAGAAATCCTTCCGGTGTTTCCGGATTTCGAGCGTATGGCTCTGGAGTACGTGCGTTTGAACTTCGACGAGAACCAGGCAAAGGACGTTCCGTCGCTCACGGGCAAGTCAACCGAGATCGTCGAGAGTGCGCTCATCAACGGTGTTGTGAAACCTTTTGCGATCGAGAACGATTACGGAGAGACGGAAAGATTCTTGTCGCTCATGCTTCCACAAGATCCGGAGGCGGCGGCGGCGCCAAACTTCCTCGAGGTCGACGGCGAACCCCGAGCGTACGACCACATCCGAGATTACGTGTACAAGCTTCAACGCGACGATCCGGCTCAGGGCGGGGGTAACGTGTGCTTCTTCTTCAAGAAGGACAAGGTCACGTTTGTCGATCTCCAAACCAAGCTCACCCTGAGTAAAAGGAGCAAGCACTCCAAGGGAAAAGACGCGTTGGATTGGAAGCCGTCCAGGGTGACGCTCAAGAGACGCAGCATGACGGAGGAAGAGCGCGCCTCGCTCGAGGAGAAGCGCGCCAAGCTTCGGGCGACGTAACGCGCGTGGCGAACGCGCGTGTTATCATTAGCGGAACGTGTGAGATTCAAACGAAAATCTTAGGAAAACATTACGCGACGCGCTTCGCGACCCTCGAGAGTCGTCGCTCTCAAAAATACCCGCGCGCCGCGCGTCCTCGAACTCAGACATCACTCCATCATAGCCCGCTCCAACTCCTCCTTGAGCGAACCATCCTTAAACGCTTCGACCGTGATGTCGCACCCTCCGAAGAACTCACCGCCGATGTACAACTGCGGAAAAGTCGGCCACGACGAGTACTCCTTCATCCCTTGCCTCAAATCCTCATTCGCCAAAATATCCACATCCGCGAACGGCACGTTCATGTTTTGTAAAATCTGCACGCACGTGTTCGAGAATCCACACCTCGGCGCCGCCTTCGTCCCCTTCATGAAGAGCACCACCTTGTTCTCCCGCACGAACGCGTCGACGGATTCCCGCAGTTCGGGTCCCATCGCCCGCGTCGTCACCCGTCGCACCGCGCCGCGCGCGCGCGCGCGCACCCCCCCCCGCGCGCGCACCGGAGCGCACACCATCGCCGCGCGCGCGGTGGACATCGCGCCCGTCGAGCTCTCGCGCGCGCCGTCGTCGTCGCCCCGATGGGCCGCGGCGGACGTCGAGGCCCCGCGAGGGGACTCGTCGACGAGTGATCACTCGTCGATGTCCCGCACCCCACGCGGTGCGCGCACGGAGGGGGTCGGCGACGAGTCATCACTCGCGATGTCATCCACAGACCCGTCGCCCATCCATCGCGCGCCCGCACACGCGCGCGATCGCGATCGACCGTCGCGCGGGGACGCGCGCGCGCGCGCGACGCGGGCGGTGATGCCCGCGCGGGCGCTCGCGCGCGGTGACCCGAGCGCGCGCGGCCGCGGACGCGCGCGCGTCGGGGCGACCGCGATGATGGGACGGTCGACGATGGCGCGGCCGACGCCGACGGGTCGCGCGGGCGACGACGCTCGGGCGTCGGATCGTGGCGCGGCGCGACGGAGAGGGGCTCGACGTCGCGCGGTGGCGGATCGAGACGTCGAACGCGAGCGAGACGAGCGGACGGGGGGGGAGATTGTCGCGCGCGCGGCGACGAAGGCGCGCGGAGGGGTGCGCGTGGCCGCGGCGACGGACGACGACGCGTTCGACGTCGCGGCGAAGCTTCGAGCGACGGCGTTTTACGACGATTTGTTAGAGAGGGGTGAGATGCCGTTTCCGCCGAGGTTCACGGCGACGTTTCATCGAGAGTTCGCGCAGCGGGAGCGTCGCGCGCTCAGGGAGCGCACGTCCAGGCGCGTCGGACACGCGCTCGAGTCGAGGTGCTTCATGGCGGACGTCGACGGTGTGGGGTTGGCGGGGTGTCTCGATGTGAGCGTGCGTGAAGGACCGTGCGCGAGTCAGATCAATGGCGTGTGCGTGGCGGAGGGGACGTCGTACGCGTACATCGACAACGTCGCGGTGGACGCGCGCGCGAGGCGTCGAGGCGCGGCGCGCTTGATGATGGAGAGCGCGAGCGACTTTATTCAAGAGCGCGGCATCACCGAGGTATGGACACATGTTCACGCCGATAACACGGGCGCTCGGAAGCTGTATCACGCGTTCGGCTTCCGCGCGCCCGAAGGGACGTTTCCGGAAACCGGCTTGCCAAACTACTTCAGCGGCGATCGCCTCAAGGGATTGATACTCATGCGAGCGCCCGTACCCCTCGTTTTTGAACGTCGAGTGATTGAAGATAGTGTCTGCGAATGCGGCGCGCGCTTCGACCGCGTTCAACAATGCATTTGCTTCAAGCCTCTGGCTCGTTGAGAGGCTCTTACGCCCCCCCGGGACGTTTGCGAACACGTTCCCGTTGTACTTCGTTAATCGCTCGCGTGTACAATGCGCGCCGCCGCACGCTTTTTATATGACGCAATTTTAGTACATCAAAGGTTAGTACAGTCTTCATTCGTCGTCTCACACATGCTAATTCTACTGGTTCGTTTGCGGCTTCGCGCAAGTCATCCAAAACTCGGCATCGAGTCGAGGTTCGCCATCGGAGGATTCGACGCCGCACCGGGCAGCAGCAGTGTCTCCCCGGCGGCATCGATCGGTGGTTTCAATGCATTCTCAACCTTCGTTCTCGTTTTCTTGAACAGCGTGTCCACGGTGGAACAGATGGTCATCGGCGCCGCCGAGCTCGTCTGGTCCAGGCGCGTCGCCGTTGCCAGCGCACTTGTGTACGCTCCTGCGCTCGCGCGCATTGTTTCCAACTCCTCGTCCATATCCCCCTGAAGAAGATGTCCGAGCGCCTCGTGCATGGCCACGGTCTCGTCGAATTCTCTGAAAACCTCTGGCGTTCCCGAGCCCATGCGACTCGCCGGGACGTTCGTCACGTCCCGCGTCCCGATCACGAACGCCTCCTCTCGCACCATTTTCGCCAACGCCAGCCCGACCCCGTGGACACCAATCTCCAGGCACTCATCGCTGAGATCTGTCAACGCCTCTATCGCCTCCGGCGACGCGTACACCAAAACGTTTTCGCCCTCTAACTGCGTCTCTCTCAACGCGTACGTCGAGTACGCCCCCAACACGCGTTCCGCCAGCGTCTTCCCACATCGCGCGTACTTCATCGCGCAATCGTACGCGCACTGCACGTACGAGTTATACGTCTGCTGCGCCGGCTTCCCGAGGTGCACGTTGGAGAATCGACGTTCACGCCAGGCGATTTTAAAGGATTCAAACGAGAGCGCCTTCGCGTACGCCTCCGCGTCCTCCTTTCGTCGCTCGATCTCTCGCCCGTTGCGTTCGATAAACTCCATGACGTCAATCTCCACGCCTCGGACCTCGCGCTCGTGCGCGGTGCCCATTGTGAGCGGCGCGCGAAATAGTGACGATGTTGATTCTCGTTTACACGAGAGTCACTCGACGAATCGTTCGCGTCCGCACTCGTCGACGACGCGCGCGATGGACGCCGTCGTCGACCGAGTCCGACGCTCGGAGGCGTTCGCGTCGTTAAAGCGCGACGCTCGAGCGTTTGGAGCGTCGAGAGCGATGGAGATTCTCTCGGATGCGAAAAGTTCGTCGTCGGCGCTCGACGCGGTTCGCACACTCGCGCACGACGCGTTACACGCGGGGAGGTGGAACGCGGTCGACGAGCGATGGCGAGCGGTGTACGCGATGAGCGCGATCGCGTGGACGGCGAAGAGTGGGACGAGAGGAGCGAAGGCGACGCGGGCGTTGGATTTGGCAGTCGTGCTCGGCGGCGAGACGTTCGGCGACGACGCGCGCGCAGCGATCGAGGCGACGAGAGTGAAGGGTGACCGTGATATAAACGTCTTTTCTGGACGCTGGGACGTTGGGGTCGACGAAGCGGTCGCGGCGAGAGCGACGCGAGCGACGGGTGGGGTCGAGAGACGAGCGTACGCGAGGACTTCGATGGAGACGTTTTATCGCGAGTACATGGCCAAGCGAGACGATGCGAGCGAGAACGGGTGGAACGAACTCGGACGACCCGTCGTTCTCGAGGGATTGGCAACGCATTGGCCCGCGGTGGCGAAATGGCGCGACCGAGCGTATCTGGACGATGCCATCGGCGATCGAACGGTTCCTGTGGAGGTCGGCAAGACGTACGTTGACGAGCACTGGTCGCAGAAGCTCATGACTGTCAGAGAGTTCATGGATCAGTACCTCGGCGAGGGCGGCGAGCAGAGCGAACAAGGTAGAAATGTCGGGTACCTTGCCCAGCACGAACTCTTTGAGCAATGTCCGGAGCTCAAGCGTGACATAGAGACTCCGCTGTATTGCTCGCTCGGCTCTGGGGGGCCCTGCGCGGTCAACGCGTGGTTCGGGCCGGCGAACACCGAGTCGCCCGCCCACACTGATCCAAAGCACAACATACTGTGTCAAATTGTCGGCGTGAAACGCGTGCGGCTGTTCGCACCGAATCAGACGCCCCGTATGTACCCTCGAGAACCGCCGTCGAGCAACACGTCTCGCGTCGACGTGGACGCACCAGATCTCGAGCAGTTCCCACTCTTCGCAGACGCCGAGTTTGTGGACGCCGTGCTCACACCTGGTGATGCAATTTATATCCCGCCCGAGTGGTGGCACCACGTCGTCGCCGACACGCCTTCTTTCAGCGTATCGTTTTGGTGGGACTGAGCTCGAAAAATCGTCTTCTGGCGTGCGCGTATGGCTTCGCCGCGCGCGTCGATCGTAGCCGTAGCGATCCGTTCGGACACTAGACCTTAGTTTCTTAGACCGTAGACATCACACACGTCGTCCGCGGTCCCGTCATCGCTCGCGCTCGTCGTCGTTCGCGCCTCGTACGTACTTCCCGCCCAAATTTAAATGTGCCGACGTGGACGCCTTCGGTCGACACTGCCTCGTCACAACGCGCCCCTTCCCCTATCCCGATGACGCGCTCGCCCGCGAGACGGACCGATGTCGTCGTCGGCGCGACGTGCGCCCTCGCCCTCGCGTGCGCCGCCACCGCGAACGCGCGCGCGCTCGGGAGCGACGCGCGCGCGCCCAAGCTCGAGATCGCGCGTCCGCGCTCGATTGAAACCGTCGTGGATTCCAAAGCGTTGAACGCGTTCACGACCGAGCGACGCGGCGAGTACGTCATCTTACCCGGACACGACACGCGCGAACACGTGGTGTCGGCGCTCCCGAGCGCGTACGTCGACGCGGCGTCGCTTCCGGACGATTTTACCTGGTCGAACGTCAAGGGACATAACTTTTTGACGAAGTCTTTGAATCAGCACCTGCCGCAGTACTGCGGGTCGTGTTGGGCGCACGGTGCGATGAGCGCGCTGGCGGATCGGATTCAGATTGCGAGTGGTAAGAAGCGGCGACAAGACGTGAACCTCGCGATTCAGTACATTCTGAACTGCGGAACGGAGGTTGCGGGCTCGTGCCACGGCGGAAGCCACACCGGGGCGTACCAATTCGTCAAGGACAGCGGTTTCGTGCCGTACGACACGTGTCTGCCCTACGAGGCGTGTAGCAAAGAATCGACAGAGGGAAACTGCGGCAACGGCGGTGATTACACGTGCACGGCGATGAACACGTGCCGAACGTGTAGCACGTTCTCGGAGTGGGGTGGATTCTGCAGCGCGCTGAGTACTTTCCCGAACGCCACCGTCGCCGAGTACGGCACCATTCGCGGTGAGAAGGCTATCATGGCGGAAATATACGCGCGTGGGCCGGTCGCCGCGGGTATCGACGCCGACGGCCTGCGCGGCTACGTCGGAGGCATCTACAAGGACACGCCGAGCTTTGAAATCAACCACATCGTGTCCATTGTTGGTTGGGGTACGGCGAAAGATGGCACCAAGTACTGGATCGTTCGCAACTCTTGGGGTCAGTACTGGGGTGAGATGGGTTATTTCCGAATCATCAGAGGCGTCAACGCACTCGGTCTCGAGGACGAGGTTGCCTGGGCGACTCCCGGTTCCTGGACGCACATGAACATCGCCTGCTACGAGGACGGAAGCAACTGCATCAAACAGAAGAACTACGTCGATCCATCCGCGCCCGGACGTAAGCCGTACGGGGAATGGCACATGCGAAACTAAATTTTATCACGACAACCTTTTTACGACGATCGATTTCTTCTTGTAATTCAACGATATGTACTTGACACACAAGACGTTTTGCGAGATCCAATGTCGCCTACCCCGCGCCGCACAGTGTGGCGCTGATTCGCGGGCTTTTGGGCCGTGTATGAAGAGGTTGGACAGAAAAAGCATTCGTAGTCGTTCTCGAATCGATTTGTGCGGGCATAAAGCCGCACTAGCTGTACTCTCGGTGTTTGGAGCTCTGTGCGTTTTATGTCCCGAGGTGGCCTTGTTCAGCAACAAAAAAGCGACACCAGCCTGGATCGAAACACGCGACGGGGCAGCCTACTCGAGGCCGACTGCGAGGTTTGATTGGTCGGTTGGGAAACTACGTGCTCGGGCGCGTTCCTTTTCACTCACGGCAAGTTCTGGTTTCTGTTTATGCCATGAAAAGTCTATGTCGTACACGGCGGCTCACAAATATGCCCCAAAATTCGCGGTAGACTGTACGGTTGAGTGCTCGTTTCGCCCAGAGCTACGTGTTCATCATTTGGTCAATGGTTCGACGCGTGCTGTGCATGTCTACGCGCGGCTCGACACACCATCGGCGTCTTCTTCTCGAACAGATATCCAGCGCCTTGTCCGAGGCGTATTAAGCTCAGCAATCCGACCAGCTGTGCACGTTCGGATGCCAAACGGAAGGAAACGAATCGATAACGATTTCGTAGCGAGAGGCATTCGCTTAGCAATGCACGATATCGCTCGTCTCAGGGAGCGGATTGACATGTACATGAGCACTGTTCCAAAGTTCACAAATCCGAACACGCTTCCACGCTTGTTCAACGGTCGTGGCATTGTGATTGTCGGTAGCTCTTCGAATGTGAAGTACTCCACCGGTTACTGGATCGCTATACACTCCATTCGTCGCGCAGGTTGTCGGCTTCCCATTGAGGTGTGGTTTCCTCGAGGTGAAATTCCGACGATATTGCAGACGGAAGAGCTCCGAAAGCTAGGCGCAACCGTTCGCACACTCAAGCCAACGAAGTTTCATAGTCGATTCTCGATGAAACTTCTCTCCGTGGCGATGAGTGATTTTGACGAGATACTTTTCATGGATTCGGACAACATAGCCCTGCGAGATGTGAGCGAGCTGTTCGATTCGATTTCCTTCATGAGCACAGGAGCTCTACTTTGGCAAGATTTTTGGGTGGCGAGCGTTGCCCCCGATTTCCATGAGATTTTACCACCGTCGCCCGAGCTTGCGTTTAATGGCACGCATGAGAGTGGACAATTTATCGTGCAGAAATCTCGTATATGGCGAGCGCTTTGCCTGGCTTTGTTCTTCAACGCGCACGCATCGTCCATCTTCTCGCCGCTGGCGAGCAACTACATGGGTTGGGGGGACAAGGAGTTCCTCTTCATCGCCTTGGCGGCGACGCAGACGCCGTTCTCCCGCGTCGAGCACCTCCCCCACCATATCGGCGTCGACGTTCAGGCACGGAGATCGGTGTACGGAAACGCGATGCTACAGTTCGACGAGCACGGCGGGCCGATGTTCCTGCACGCGAACATCGGTAAGATCGTCGCCGACGACGTTCCCGCAAACTTCACTCGATACAACCGTCGATGGACGACGCAAGACGATGGCAACACCGTCAAGGATGTCCGAGAACTCCTCCAAAACGCCACCGGTGAGGCCGATTTCGAGCGTTGGCTTCACGGCGTCCTGGTCGACGTCCGATTCGGAGTACTGAACGACTCGCGTCGTCATCGACGAAACATCCGCCTCCGCGCTCAACGACGCTGGTACCTCGATCCCTCCGTCGTGCTCGCCCGCGCGCCCCTCCTTGAGGGGATGTTTCTCGACGACCACCCCGGTCGACGCGTGCGGCGCGTCGGCTAACGATGATCAGCTCCCCACGAGTTTGTGGTCGATCACTTTTCCCGTCGTCGTCACCGCACGTAGGGTGACGTCACCAAAACTGAGAGCCGATTGATGAGTTATGACCGGTGACGGAGTCACATTCGGTAGCGTCCCCCGAGTTCGCGCGCACCGCCCGCGCCCATCGCCGCGCCAGGGCACGCGCGTCGCGCGTCGTCACTGTCCGTCTCGTCGACGACTTACGGATACGATAAAGATGGCGCACGCCGTCTCTCAACAAATTACCCACGTGCGCGGCGCCGCGCAGAAGCGCGTCGCGCGCAAGAACGCGTCCGCGCGAGGCGTCGTTCGAGCGCGCGCGGGCGAAGGCGAGGTGCGTAGGGAGAGATTCCGAGTCGATTTCGCGAGCGTGGCGACGTGCGCGACGTGTAAACGGGTGATCGATGGCGATACGAACGACGCGGAGTTTTGCATCGTCGTGATCGTGGAGTAGGGTCGAGCGAACGCGGCGTCAGTGAAGGGCGAGCGGCGGAAGAGCGTTCGTTCGGGAAGATGACGTCGTCGGGATAGAGCGTCCGAGACGACGACCAGGACGATGCGGGCGAGCGTACGGCCGGGCGAGGCAGGCTTTGGACGAGAACGGATCGATTGTATTAATCTGTGCGTGAAGAACGAGAGACTGACTTCGACGTTCATCGCGTTCGACGACGTAGGTTGACCTCGCGCGTCGTGAGGCCCTCAAGATGGCCGCTGGAGTTGCGGCGACGTTCGGTTTGGCCGCGAAGAGCGCGAACGCTGCCGATGACGTCGCCTCCTCTCGCATGTCGTACTCGCGATTCTTGGAGTATCTCGACATGGGACGCGTGAAGAAGGTTGATCTGTACGAGCAAGGCACGATCGCGATTGTTGAGGCGGTTTCGCCCGAACTCGGCAACCGCGTGCAGCGTGTGCGCGTACAACTCCCGGGCACGTCCTCAGAATTGCTCAGAAAGTTCCGCGAGAAGAACGTCGATTTCGCGGCGCACACGAACACGGAAGATAGTGGCGCAGTGTTCCTCAACTTGCTCGGCAACTTGGCGTTCCCGCTCCTCCTCGTTGGGGGCTTGTTCTTGCTCACGCGACGTCAGCAAGGTGGCGGTATGGGCGGTGGTCCGGGTGGCATGGGCGGCCCGGGCAACCCCATGGCGTTCGGCAAGTCCAAGGCAAAGTTTCAAATGGAACCGAACACCGGTGTCACTTTCGATGACGTCGCCGGTGTCCGCGAGGCGAAGAACGACTTCATGGAAATCGTTGAGTTCCTGAAGCGCCCTGAGCGATTCACCGCAGTCGGTGCCAAGATTCCGAAGGGCTGCCTTTTGGTCGGTCCGCCGGGTACCGGTAAGACCCTTCTTGCCAAGGCGATCGCCGGAGAGGCGGGTGTTCCGTTTTTCTCCATCTCCGGTTCCGAATTCGTCGAGATGTTTGTCGGTGTCGGTGCATCCCGCGTCCGCGACCTCTTCAAGAAGGCAAAGGAAAATGCCCCGTGCATCGTTTTCGTCGACGAAATCGATGCCGTCGGCCGATCGCGTGGTACCGGTATTGGAGGTGGTAACGATGAGCGTGAGCAGACCTTGAACCAGCTCCTTACCGAGATGGATGGTTTCGAAGGCAACACTGGCATTATCGTCATCGCAGCGACGAACCGCGCAGACATTCTCGACCCGGCGCTCCTTCGCCCGGGTCGCTTCGATCGCCAAGTGCAAGTCGATGTTCCGGATCTCGAAGGGCGCAAGGAGATCTTGGGAGTCCATGCCAAAAATAAGCGTTTCGAAGAAGACGTTGACCTTGAAATGATCGCAAAGCGAACCCCAGGCTTCTCTGGTGCTGACTTGTCGAATTTGCTCAATGAAGCCGCCATCCTCTGCGGTCGCCGCGGCAAGACCGCGATCTCCATCAATGAGATCGATGACTCCGTCGACCGCATCGTTGCTGGTATGGAAGGCACGCGCTTGAGCGATGGTAAGGCGAAGAGCCTCGTGGCGTACCACGAAGTCGGCCATGCCATCTGCGGCACCCTCACTCCGGGCCACGATGCCGTGCAGAAGGTTACCCTTATCCCGCGCGGTCAAGCCAAGGGCTTGACGTGGTTCATCCCGGGTGAGGACCCATCTCTCATCTCCAAGCAACAAATCTTCGCGCGTGTCGTCGGTGCCCTCGGTGGACGTGCTGCTGAGGAAGTCATCTTCGGTGAGGCTGAAGTAACCACGGGGGCGAGCAGCGACCTCAACCAAGTCGCCTCGATGGCGAAGCAGATGGTCACCACGTTCGGTATGTCCGACGTCGGTCCGTGGGCGCTCCAGGATCCGAGCGCTCAAGGCGGTGACATGATCATGCGCATGATGGCGCGCAACTCCATGTCTGAGAAGCTCGCGAACGACATCGATGTCGCCACTAAGCGCATTGCGGACGAAGCGTATGAGGTTGCCTTAAAGCATATCAGAGACAACCGTGAGGTGATCGACGTCATCACGGAGGAGCTTATGGAGGTTGAAACCATGACTGGTGAACGCTTCCGTGAGATCCTCTCTAAGTACGTCACGATCCCGGAGGAGAACATTCCGGGTGAGATTGAGATGGCCACGGTGAACGCCGCTCGATAAGCGCGCTTAGGAAATTTTAGACGGGGTGATTCCCAGACGGAGCTGCCGTCGTCAACCGACGGACATGTAACATCGATCAATTGAACACGCAAACTTCTAATTACAACGTCGAACACCCTTCACGATCGACCGCACTCTCGCTCACCCTAACGACTAAACAAATCTATAACCCTCCTCTCTTCTCCGCGTCTCGTCTCTTCTCCCTCACCGCTTCGTCATCCGCGCCAGCCTTTGGAGGTGATGATTGATAGTGTTCATCTTCTTCGGTGCCTTCGCTCGGAGCTCCAAGCATGCGTCCAAAGCCTTTTTCGCGTTTGCGCACTTCGCATCCTCGAACGCGTTCGTCTTGTAACACGACAGGAGCTCGAACATCTCTGACAGGCACGCGACGTCTCGTCGCTTACCACGTCCGCCTGACTTTGTGTTGATCCGCAATCGAGGCTCGCTCGGTGTCTTCGCCATCGTGATGACCGACGACGACGATCGAGAGCGATGATGCGCGAAGTGAGGATGACGCTGGGAGGAGACGCGCCCGGACGCGCGGATGGATGAGCGACGGGCGTCGTTCGAGGAGTCGCCGAGGGAGCAAGTCTAGCGAGGGCGAGGGAGCACATTCGATCGCGAAGTGCGTCGTGTCGTGGAACAACTCGGGAAGGGTTTGATGGTGTAACAATCTTCACGCTACGTTACCTCAAAAGGCCGTGTAGCCGTGAATATCCGGATTCGCCGCTTAATAGAACTTGAAGCCCTTCGCCGCGTTGGTGAGCACATTGGCGTGGATCGGGTCCGCGACGTGCGCGGTCCAGTTCGCGATCGGACCCTCTTGGGTGGCGAGCGCTTGCATGATGCAGCCCAACCAGGCGAACATCGCGAGGCGGGAGTGCTTGAGCTCCTTGATCTTGAGCTCTTCGAGGTCGCCCGCTTCCGCGAAGCCGAGCGGATCGAAGCGGCCGCCCGGGGTCACGTCACCTTGCGTGAGCTCCGGGAACGGGTTCTCAAAGAGACCGGTGCGGTAGCACTCGGCGGAGCCGACGAGAAAGATCTCGATCGCAAGCACGGCCCAGAAGTTCGGGTAGCCGGAGCCCGCCGGCGCGAGCGGCGCCACGGCGCCCGGGAACTTATCCGCGACGGCCGTGCAGTCATCCGGGGTGCACAAGGTACCGGCGGTGAACCACGGAATACCCGTACCGTTTTCGGCGGCCCAGGCACCGGTGACACCGAGCATGGCCCATCGGCCGTGGATGATCTCGCGTTCGGCGTTCTTCTCCGACCCAAACGGAATCACCGGCGATTCGCCCCCGCCCGGGTACGTGCCGAACTCCGGGTACAAATCCGGCGGCGCGAGCGAGCCAAACTTGTTCGCCTACGTTTGTTTCCACGAAAATCTCCTCGTCAGTCGTCGCGCACCCATCGCGCCCTCGCACCGACGTCCCATCGATCGTTTCGACGCCAAGATACGCTCGAGCGTGATATCCATCGTCTTCGTCCTCATCGCACCTTGAACGCCGATCGCTTCGCCGGCACCGACGCCTTGGTGCGTCGAGCGACGACCGAGGTATCGATCTTCTTCGCTCCTCGCTGTTGTTGCGTGACGACGCGAACGCCGGTGAAGGTGGTGGTGAACATCTCGAGTCGCGAGTGTGCCTGAATGCGGGACAGACAGCTTGGCGCGAGATTTCCTTCGTCCGCGGGCGAGGTCGCGATGAGTCGTGATTGGTGAAAATGTGTGGTGATGGTCTACAAACGCGTCCTCGCCCGGGAGCGTTACCCGGGACGAGCCGCGTGCGTTCCTAATTGTACTGCATGTACTTGGCCGTGGAGGAGAATTTTTGATATCCCTTGATCACCTTGTTGATGGCGTCCAGGAAGTCCTTCTCGCCGACGGTTTTCCTGCGCTGACGAATGGCAAACATGCCGGCTTCGGTGCACACGGAGTGGATCTCCGCGCCGGTGGCGTTGGGACACAGACGGGCCAAGAGCTCGTAGCGAATGTCGCGCTCAACCGCCATGGAGCGCGTGTGGATCTTAAAAATTTGCGTGCGAGACTCGAGGTCAGGGAGACCGAACTCGACTTTACGGTCGAGTCGGCCCGGACGCAGGAGCGCGGGATCGAGCGTGTCGGGCCTATTCGTCGCCATCAACACCTTGATATTCCCTCGCGCATCGAAACCATCGAGTTGGTTCACGATCTCAAGCATCGTACGCTGCACTTCGTTGTCCCCACCTTGCCCGTCGTCGAAGCGGGCGCCACCGATGGCGTCCACTTCGTCGAAAAAAATCAAACACGCCTTTTTGCTCCTCGCCATCTGGAACAGTTCCCGAACCAGTCTCGCCCTTTCCCGACATACTTTTGCACTAACTCACTACCGATGACGCGAATAAAGCACGCGTCGGTTCGGTTCGCCACCGCGCGCGCGAGCAACGTCTTCCCCGTCCCTGGCGGCCCGTAACACAACACCCCCTTCGGCGGATCGATCCCGAGCTTGACGAACTTCTCCGGATGCAACAACGGCAACTCCACCACCTCTCTGAGCTTCTCGATTTGCTCCTTGGACCCTCCGACGTCGCCGTACGTCACGTCCGGTTTTTCCTCTACCGTCATCATCGTCACGCTCGGGTCAATCTTTGGTGGCAGCGGAAGCTGTATGAAGTACTTATTCCGATCCACCCCAACCCGCATGCCCTCCTCGATGTCCGTCGGCGCCACCTCGTTCCCTAACCCCACCACAAACTTCGCGATTTGTTTCACGTTGATCACGTACTGCGCGTCATCCGTCCCCGGGTTTATGATCTTCGTGCACCTCGCCACCTGCAGCGGTTGCTGCTCCTGAAACGCCTGCTTATCCGCCGTGAGATCCCACTGCGACGGTGGCGCCAACCCAGTGTCGCTCTCCTTGATCCCACACAGATCGTTCACCCGTTTCGCGATCGTCTTCAGATCGTTCTCCAGATCCTTGATCGAATCGTTGTACGCGCCCAAGCCGTACGTCTTCAACAGCGCGATGTCGTCCTCATCGAGCGGGACGATGGGTTTATCGTTTTCACCCGCTTCGGGGTCGTCCGCGACCGCCATCGGGACCGCGCGCGCGACGCGAAGTGCCGCTTCGTCGCGCGCCCCGCACGCGGGGACGCAAAAGACTGGTCAACAGATTGATTTCGTCATCTGTCGCGCGTCATCGCGTCATCGCTCGTCGCCCCGCGCCCATGTCGGGACATTTTTTGGACGACGACGCGCGCAGGCGCAGCGCCGATCTCTTCGTCGCGCTGGCGAGTCGTCAAACGACGTTTGCGGATGTCATCAAGGACAAGTTTGCGGACTGGCGACAGCTCTTTGTGGGTATGAAATCTTTGAAAAAGGACGATGGTTCTGCGCTCTCGGGCGTCGCACAACGGTCGGGCGCGCCGTGTGAGTTCGATACGTGGGGGAGGGAGCGTTCACCGATGTTTTCCGATGAGTTCGAGCGGTTTTTAGCGGACGAGGCGTGCGTGGAGGCGTGCGCGGAGGATTTGGGCGCGTTCGAGGCGTTGCGCGCGGCGCTCGCGGGCGCGGCGAGTGGGCGGGAAAAAACGCCGGTGAAGACGCCAGGAAGTGTGGCTGGTGGCGGTATTGGTGGCGGTGACGTCGCATCGGAGGTGGAGCGGTCGTTTCGGAGGATGAAGACGCCGAGCGCGAGCGCGGCGGAGCGAGACGCAGAGCCGGAGAGTTTCGTCGTGGAGAAGCCACGCGCAGCGAGCGTGAGAGGGACGCTCGGCGGTGCCACGCGCGTGGAGACGGTTGCTGCGCCGACGAGGGAACCGATGCGCGCAAACGTGACACCACCACCGTCGCGAACGGCTGGGATGACTGTTAAGAAGTCACCTCCGCCGACGCCCATGCCTGCGCAATTGTCGCCGCCGCAGAGCGAGTACGCCAACACGACGCCGACGATCGGGGACGAGGCACATGTCGAGCACCTGATGTCGTACTTGACCGGATTTCACGGTTTGCTATTTGGTTTGAAGGAACATGTGAAGCGCATTCGCGAGGCAACTGTTGAAAACGTCGCGCACGAGCTTGCTCGAACGGACGCAAGACTGGATACGGCGATAGCGAGACTGGAAGCGGCGATGGGCGTCGAGTCCGGTCGGTGACGTAGGTCAAAACATAAAATCCCAACGAGTTGCCAACGCGTAAGTAGTATTGAAAAATTCAGCCCCTGATCAAATCTAAGTTTTCGTGGCCGTCCGCGTGGATTTCCTCCCTTTAGGCGCCGCAGCCGCTGCCTTCTTTTTGGACTTCGAAGGGGCCGGCTCCGCGGCTGGTTGTTCCTTCACAGAATCGTCCTCAGTGGGTGGCTGTTCCGTCGATTCCTCTCCGGCGTCGCCGTCCAAGACGACGCGCGCATCTATATTAGAGCGAGCGAGATCCGCCTCGGCGGCTTGCTCCTGCAGTACCGATATGAGCGCCTTGTAAATTGCTGGGTCCGTCTCACGGTTTGAAATGCATCGCTCGACCCGTCGCGGGTCGGCTCGATCCTCGATAAGATACTTGCGTTTCACCTGACGACGGGTGCGGCCTGGGAAAAGACGAGCGATGAGCGAAAAGTCCGTACCAAACTGCGTCATGGCTCGGTAGAAGAGTTCGGTGTCGTCCTTGCTCCACTTTTCCGCCTTTGCTCGGTTAGCGTACGTGGCCGAGTTCAGTTTTGTCCCGTTCTCTTCCACGCGTTTAAACTCGTCCAACCCCGAGGACTTCTCCGCCGCCGCGGCCACGGTGAGTGAGTGCGGATTAATGACGATGTTACCGTCTATGACTTGCACCTGCGGTGCCATGACAGTGGGTTTCGGCGCAAACGACTTGCCTGGCAGTGCCACCGGAGCTGCGGGCTCCGGCGTTCTTTTCTTCCCAAAATCGCTCGCCGCCTTCAATTTAGACTTTTTCAACATTCGAGACTTGGCCTCGTTCGCCCGTTCCTCGGCGGATTTCTGTCGTATGATGTCGCGAATCGTCATGGCTGGATCGTTGTCGTACGACGTCGTTGCCTCGAGCAAGTCCCGTCGACTTCCCTCGCCGACACGGCCGCCGCGAGTTGAACCCGCCGACCGAACCCATCTGTGCGCCGGAACCGCCATCACGGGCGGCGGCACCACGAGCGCGAGCGCTCCAGGAGACGAAAGAGGATCCACGGGCGCGACGCCTCCGTGAGGCAACGCGAGCGGCGGCGCCGGAACGATGGGCGACAGCTTCGCCTCGATCCTCGACGCCGCGGGCACCAATTGCTTCGACGTACGACTGGGCGCGGGTGATCGCAAACCCAAAGGCGTCTGTCCTCGCACCGCGGGCGAACCGCTCATCGTCGCCTGCGACGCGTGCGTCGTCGGCGTCCTCGGCCGCTCCGGCGCGGGCGTCGCGCTCTCCCTCGCCGTCCTCAACCGACTCCCCGACCCCACCACCGACGGCACCACCGCCGTCAATCTCGACTTTTTCCGCCCCTCCCCCTCGCTCGCGCTCTCCACGCTCTTCCCCAATCTCGACGCCGGTCTCGCGCTCGCGCCTCCGCCGTCCCGATCCCCCCCATCCGTCTCCCTCGCGCGCTTCTTCCCATCCACGCTCGCCCCTATCTCTCCCGACGTTCGCGCGCGCACCTTCACCCCCGTCCCTCGCACGTTCGGCGCGAACGCGCGCTCGCGGCGTCGCGGCGTCGTCTCCGTCCACGGTCGTCCCGCGCGCGCGGCATCCGTCGCGTCCGTCGCGTTCTCCGTCGCGTTCGCCGTCGCGTTCGCCGTCGTTCCTTCGTCACGCGCGCGCGCGTCGACGTCGGGTGCGGTGTCGTCCATCGCGCGCGCGTCGGCGTCGGTCTCGCGCGTCGCGAGCGGGGGAATCGTCGGGCGATTGGGCGAATGGGCGACCGGGCACACCCGTACACGCGGGTGTTTCAACCGCGGGACGTAGGGTTTAGGGTTTAGGGTTTAGCGCACGCCGCCGCCGGCCCCGTCGCCCCGTCCGTCGCTGGACACCGCGCGGACGCGCGCGATGGACCTCGCGCGCGACGACGTCGCGGACGACCACGCCCTTCGCGCGTGGACCGACCTCGGTCTCCATCGAGCGGTCGCGCGCGCGTTGGTGCGCGAGCACAAGACGCGACCGACCGCGGTGCAGCGTCGAGCGATTCCGCTCGCGCTCGAAGGACGCTCCGTCGTCGTCCGTTCGAGCACGGGGAGCGGGAAGACGATGTCGTACGTCGCGCCGATCGTGCACGCGTTGTGCGGGACCGCGAGCGAGCGCAAACGGGGGCTTCGAGCGATCGTGTTCGCGCCCACGCGCGAGCTCGCGCGTCAGGTGCGCCGCGCGTGCGCGTCGACGACGCGACTGTGCGCGCCGGGGTGTCGAGTGGGTGAACTCCCGGCGCCGAGCGCGGGGACGAGTGTTTTGAGGGAAACCGCGGGGTCGCCGCCGGAGATTTTGGTGTCGACGCCGGCGAGGGTGGCGGAGTGCGTGCGCGGCGGGTACTTTCCGCCGGGCGCGCTCGAGGAGGAGTTGGAGACGGTGGTCCTGGACGAGGTGGATCTGTTGTTGTCGTTCGGGTACGTGGACGATATTAAGAGCGTGATGAAGGCGGTGAAAAGAGGAACGCGGGTGATGATGCTGAGCGCGACTTTGAGCCCGGAGGTCGAGGAGTTGAGAGACGTCGTGGCGCACAAGCCGACGACGATCGACGTCGAGGACGAGGAGGCGGCGATGAAAGAGGAGGGTGATGACCAAGACGATGGGAAGCCAAGTGCACCGAACATCTCGCACTACTCGTTGGAGATTGCGAAATCGTCCGATCGCTTGTTGTACACCATGGCGTTGCTGCGTCTCGGTTTGTGCAAGAAAAAGGTGCTCGTCTTCGTGTCGAACGCGGACGCGGCGGTTCGTCTTCGATTGTTCCTGCACAAGTTTGGCGTGCCAACGTGTGCGCTTCATAGCGAGCTACCAGCGAACTCGAGAGCGCACATTTTACAGGAATTCAATCGCGGCGTGTACGACTTCATGGTGGCCGCGGCGGACGACGCCAGGGTAGCAACGGAAGTTGAGGAAGAGGAGGAAGAGGATAAGGCACCGACGCGTGAGAGCAAGAAAAAGAAGAAGGATAGACGCGATAAGGAGTTTGGTGTCGTGCGCGGGATCGATTTCCAAGCCGTCGGCACGGTGATCAATTTCGAAGTTCCGGCGACAGCCGCCGCTTACGTGCACCGCGTCGGACGCACTGGCCGAGCGGGGAAGTCTGGTACGGCGATAACCATCGTCTCCCCCACGGAGGAGGAAGCGTTTAAGCAAATCCAGGAAGATTTAGTGAGTACGGTTGGGGACACCGTCGCTGCTACGCAAGTAATTCAGCCGTTCGATCGACTTCCCAAGGAAGCGGTGGATGCTCTGCGTTACCGCGCGGAAGACGCCGCTCGAGCGGTAGGGAAAACTGCGGTTAAGGAGGCGCGTGTACGTGAGTTGAAGCAAGAACTGTTGAACTCGGAGCGTTTAGCGGCGCACTTTGAAGATAACGCCGACGACTTAGCCTTGCTCAAGCACGATAGCAGTCTGTCGAAGAATCCAGATGCGAAGCACTTGAGCCACTTGCCTGGGTACTTGAGAGGCACTAAGAAACGCGGTGATTCCAGAGCGGTGGAGCCGGATTCAAAACACGCGAAAGCGGCGGCGAACTATCAGCTCGACGTCGACGTCGCCGAGTTCGGCTCGAAGAAGAAGCGTAAGCGCAGCGACAAACGCGAGACCGGGCCCGACTTGCGTCAGAAACATAAATTCAAGGGTGGTTTCAAGAAGAAATCGACCGGGCGCAAGCGCAGTAGATGATGTGACATTATATGATTTGGTTTGAGCCATGTGTTCTCTCCACGCGCGTACGACTCCGTACCTATTCACAACTAAGCTACAATTCATCGTGTCGAGACAATTCTGTACAATTCGGAACGACCTTATCGCACACATCTCGCGCCCCGACATCGTCCATAGGTCGAACGTCATCGATCGATGCCAACGCCGCCACCACCAAATCTCGCGTTTGCTCATCGTCTCTGAGCGACGCGCACACGTTGGATAACACGGCGGCGGCGAACGTGTCGGCGTTCTCCTCCGGTCTCAACCGCGCCTCCGCCGGATTACTCACCTCCGAGTGCCTCGTGCCGTCCCGTGTGTCCACCAACCGCTTGTTCTCATCCATAATCACCGCACTCACGTTCTTAAACCGACCGCACGTCGTCTCTCGCCACGCCAACGCAACCACCTCCTCCCTGAGCGTCTCGTCCAACGCCCGCCACGACGACTGCGGCGTCGTTCTCGCCGCCACCACCGCATCCGCGTGCAACCCTCTCACCGTGAGCCGACACCCATCGCACGTCGTCCATTCCGGGACGTCTGCCGCGTTCGTCCACGCCTCATCCGTCTCCATCGCCGCCGTCTGCGTCAACCGTCGTCTCGACGTCCCGACATCCTTCCCTCTCCCCTCGCCCTCGCGTCTCGCCCGCAGGCGTTCGGCGTACGCCGCGTCCCTCGCGCCGTCCTTGACGCGTCCGTCGACGCCCACGGCATCGCGCGTCGACGCCATCCGTCGCGGTTTCGCCCCGAATCCATCGTGTGGCGGTGGAATCTGTCGTCGCCGTCCCGCGCGCGCGCCGACCCCCGCGAACGATCTCGGGCGCACGCGCACCGCGTCCGCGACCGCGACCGCGGCGAGGACAATGACGAGGGCGCTGAGCACGCGCGACGGGCGCATCGATGCGTCAATGCGCGGCGCAGAGAAATGATGCGTGCGCACGACGCGTCGCGCGCCACCGCGTTCGCTCGCGCGTGGTGTCGACCGACGACGCGCGAGCGAACGCGACGGCGCGCGCGGCGGGACGCGCGCGACGATGCGGCGTCGACGGATGCGGCGTCGAGGGCGAACGACGAAGATGTGCTCGAATTCGAGAGAATGACATCCGCGTCGCGCGCGTCGATCGTCGATCGCGACGGCGGGCGCGGCGGTGGATTGGGACGAACGATCGTCGGCGTCGGCGTCGCGATGGCGTGCGGACTCGGGGCGAGCGCGCCGGCGCAGGCGAGGCGAGGGACGAGCGCGGAGCCGGCGCGCGCGAGCGCGTCGTTCGAGCGCTTCGTCGGCGTCGAGCGCGGACGAAGCGGTCGCGGGATGCTCGGAAAGGACGCGAGAGCGAAGAGGAATTCGTTCGTGAGAGATGCGGCGAACGCGATCGGTCCGGCGGTGGTGCGGATCGACAGCGATGCGGTGAGTCTGAAGCGAGCGACTGGGGTGAGCGGAGGCGTGAACGCCGAGCGCTCGGGGGCGAAGATGGGATCGAACGCGCGAAGCGGGGTGATTCGAGGAACGGGGTGCGGGCTCGTGATTGATGCCGATCGGGGGTACGTGGTGACGAACAGTCACGTCGTGAAGAGCGAGGAACAGGTCAAGGTGACATTTATCGACGGGAACGTGTACGACGGCGAGGTGAAGGGCGTTGACTTGTTGACAGACATTGCCCTCATAAGGCTTAAGCCGAGGGCTGGACACGCGCTGCCACAGGCAAGGTTGGGTGACAGTGATCACGTAGAGGTGGGAGATTACGCCATCGCGCTCGGGAACCCGTTAGGTTTGGATAACAGCGTCACGTTGGGCATCATAAGTAACGTGCATCGCACATCCGCGGAGCTCGGAATCACGGATAGGCGGGTCGATTTCGTGCAGACCGATTGCGCGATCAATCCAGGAAACTCTGGTGGGCCGCTAGTGAACGAATTTAGCGAGGTTGTCGCCCTGAACACGGCGATTCGCGCCGACGCGGAGGGCATTGGGTTCGCGATACCCATCAACACTGTCAAGCGCGTGGTCGGTCTTCTCGCCAACGGCGAAAAGGTCCCTCATCCGTTCATCGGGATTCGAATGGTCGACAATTTTACCGCGAACTCTGCGTTTGGTGATCGCGCTCAGGAGATTCCAGTGGGCACGGTGATCGTCGACATTATCGAAAAATCGCCCGCAGCGCTCGCCGGTCTCGCCGTCGGCGACGTCATCACTGCTGTCGACGGCGTCGTCATGAACGGCGCACAGATTCTGGATAGGGTCAAGGGCACCGCCCCGGGTGAGTCGTACGAGTTCACCGTCTTCCGACCCTCGGCGCAGGACTCCCACATGCACCGCCGCGTAATCATTCGCGTCGGCGACTTGGCCGAGCACAACAATCGCCGAGTGAACGCGGAAGAGCGAAACGTCAGCCCACCGGGCGTAGGCGTGCGTCCACCTAGAATCCCTCGTACGTTCGGCGCGTAGATCGCTGCGCACATGTCGAGTCACCACGTCGTCGTATGTAATTATTTGTACGCGTACCGGTAGCCGAGCGTTCCACAACACTGCTCGTTCAATATTGACGACTCGCCACTTCGCGTCTCGCGTGCGGCCGTCGAGCTCGAAGCGCTCGATTTCGACGCGTCACGCATCGACACGAACGCGCGCACTGAACGCTTTCGCGCCCGCGCGATCGATCGACGCTCTTCGCGCGCGCGTGAACCCGTCGAGTTCGTTGCTCGAGCGCGATGCCGTACGACAGCGCCATCACCGTCTTCTCCCCGGACGGACACCTGTTCCAGGTACGCGCGCGACGCAACGACGCGTTCGACGCGCGCTCGAAAATAATAGCATGCGCGCGCGCGATCGTACGACGCGGATGAAGGAGGGTGGACGACGCGGTTGACGAGAAAGAAGCGCGAGCTGACCTAGATCTGACACGCGCGCGATTCGCCTTGAAAACGTAGGTCGAGTACGCGATGGAGGCGGTGCGCAAAGGCACGCTCGCCGTAGGCGTTAGGGGGAAAGATTGCGTCGTCCTGGGCGTGGAACGTAAGGCGGTGCCGAAGTTGCAGGATACGAGAACGATTCGGAAGATTCAGATGCTGGACGATCACGTGGCGGTGGCGTTCGCGGGACTCACGGCGGACGCGCGGATCTTGATTAATCGGGCTAGGACGGAGTGTCAGAGTCACAGGTTGACGCTCGAGGATGCGGCGTCGGTGGAGTACATCGCGCGATACGTAGGAGGGGTGCAACAGAAGTACACGCAGAGCGGTGGCGTGCGACCATTTGGGCTGAGCACGCTCATTTCCGGCTTCTCGCCTGAGGGTAAGCCTCAGTTGTTTCACACCGACCCGAGCGGAACCTACAGTCAATGGAAAGCGAATGCGATCGGTCGCAACGCCAAATCCGTGAGAGAGTGGTTGGAGAAGCATTACGACGAGTTTAGCGGCGAGGACGCCATCAAGTTCACACTCAAGGCGCTCCTCGAGGTTGTTGAGCCGGGCTCAAAGAACATAGAGTTGGCCGTCATGCGCACGCCGACGAGTGGTTTAGAGATGCTGAGCGCGGAAACTATCGATACAATGGTGAAGGCGATCGAGGACGAAAAGGCGGAGCTCGACAAGGCGAAGAAAGAGAAAGCTCGTGCTGCGGCTGAAGCCGCCGCCGCCGCTTCAACGCAACAGTGATTTGTAACGCGCGAACTTCATAGTCACACGCCCGTCGCCTCGATGCGTCGCATCCAGCCCCGAGGTTTCTTCGCTGATGGTTCATCGCCGCGATCGCGCGTCATTGCGCGTTCATTCGCGTCGCATTCGAGCCGTCCCGCCGCCGGCGCGCCGAGGCTCGCCGCGTCCTTCGCCCTCGGCGCCGCCCTCGGTGCGACCGCGGCGTACGCCTACGCTCGCCGCACACTCAGCGAGGCCAATCGAATCGCGTCTGGGGACGATGCGAGCGCGTCCGAGCGCGCAGAGAACACGGAGACCGTCGAGCACGAGGCGATGAGGCACGGTTGGCCGTTGGACACTTCGAGCGTGATTCATCAGAAGTCCTCCTACGTCCACGCCTTTGACGGACGAACGAGGAATCCGCGATGGGTGATGGAAGTGATAACGCGCGAGACGGTTGGCGGGAGCGGGAGTCGGAAGCGGAGCGATTTTGCCGAGGATGAGGCGGTTTCATGGAAGCACCGGAGTCGTTTGGCGGACTATCGCGGGAGCGGATATGACAGAGGACATCTCGTCGCGGCGGCGGATCAAAAGGGGAGTCAGGAGGACATGGACGCAACTTTCGCGCTATCGAACGTGTCGCCGCAGGTCGGGGAAGGTTTCAACAGAGATTACTGGGCCAAGTTGGAACAGTTCGTGAGGGATGAGGCGTGCGCCGATGGAACGAAGGCGGCGTACGTCGCGACGGGACCGTTATTTTTAGCATCGAGAAGCGAATCAGCAGACGCTGAATCGTTCGATGCGTCAGCTCGCGCTGTCGATCACGCGAATGTCGGCGCACCGCGACCGACGGTGTGGGAGATGCGTCATCCGATGCTGGGAGAGCCACCGGCTCTGATGGCTGTGCCGACGCACTTCTTCAAAGTTGTGTTCGTCGAGGGTGAGGATTCGCGCGTCTCCTGCGCCGCGTTCGTGCTACCAAACTCGTCGATACCGAAGAACGTTCCTCTGCGTAGGTTTGTCGTGCCACTTACGGATTTAGAGATCGTCAGCGGTTTGGAATTCTTTCGAAGGGGACTCGCGGGAGAGGACAGAAGGCGATACGAACGAGCAGAGCAAACGTTTTTGACAACAACGGCGAAGCAGCTACCCGGATCCGGAAAACTTCCGAGCTTACCGCCTTCTAAAAGCGGCGTTAGCGCTCCGTTTAATCCGTTGGGTGATCAGAGCGAGTTGGTAAAGGAAAGTGGAAAAAAATGGAACGATGTTAGGCACTTGTGCGACATCACAGCGTGCGAACTCAAGCCGAGCAAATGGGACAAAAAGTAGTGTATAGAGATTCGTCAATATTGAAAGGCTTCAACCAACCTCGCTAAGCAAAATATTTTGTATTCCGTAATTTAGCAGCCGTATTCCGACTCCGGGTAGGTGTCGAAGAAGAGCAGCTCGGAGTAAGTCGCGAGAGTCCAGTCTTCCGGCGGGCAGCGGCTTTCAAACTCGTCAATAATCTCACGAATTGCCACCATGGTGGTCAAGCGCAAGGTGCGCGCGAGCGTAGCCGCCTTGTGCTCGTCCTCGGTGCCGTGAATTTGCGCGACGGCACCCTTGATGGTCTTCACGGCGTCAACAAGCTTGCTCGGGTTACCCAAGTCAGCCTTCTTCACGGACGGGATGACGTGTTGGTTGATCATGTCAATCATGGTCAACGCTTCCATCTCGACGGAACCAACGTAGTGACCAAGGAGGACAGACTTACGAGCCTGGATTTCTCTCGCGGTGAAAATACCCATCCCTTCGAAGAGAGTGACGTTCTTCGCGCTGTCAAGTTCGTTGATGGCGTCGCAGCCAGCGTCAATACGCCAGATACCACGCTTGACGGCTTCATCCGGCCAGGCCGGATCGTAACCGTTGCCATTGAAAATGCACTTGTCGTGAGTCTTGAGCAAGTCTTGCGCGATGGCAAGCGGCTTTTCGCCGGCTTCGAGGCGGTCAGCGACGATCTTGAAAGCTTCGGCCGCGATAGTGTTGAGCACCGTGTTCACAAGAGATACGTTTTGGGAAGAACCGGCGGCGCGGAACTCGAAGCGGTTGCCACCGTACGGGAACGGTGACGTGCGGTTACGATCTTCAGCAGGCACTTCGATCGACGGCAAGGTATCGGAACCGAATTCGAGCGGCTTCTTCTTCGGGGCGTACTCACCAAGGGAACCGTTCTTCACCGTGTTGAGGAACTCTGTGAGGGACGGGCCAAGGTAGGTCGACATGACAGCCGGCGGCGCCTCCATGGCGCCGAGGCGGAAGTCGTTGCCCGGGGATGCGATCGCGGCGCGCATCAAGTCACCGTGCTTGTCAACAGCGGAGACCATGGCGGCCATAACCAACGGGAAGATTTCCGGGTTGCCAGTCTTTGCGTTCACTTGCTTCGGATTCATCAAGTTGAGGCCGTCGGAGGTGCCGATGGACCAGTTGTTGTGCTTACCGGAGCCGTTGACACCAGCGAACGGCTTTTCCTGGAGAAGCGCCGCGAGGCCGTGCTCGGACGCAACTTCCTCGATAACTTGCATGATCATCAAGTTTTGGTCAACTTGCGAGATGGCGTTGCCGAACATCGGGGCAAACTCGTACTGGTTGGGCGCGACTTCACGGTGGCGAGTCTTCAAAGGAATGCCCATCTTGAAGCATTCTTGCTGAATTTGGCGCATGCACTCGAACGCACCGGTGGCGCGGGAAATCGGGGCCATATAGTGGTCGCTCATCTCTTGGCCACGCGCCGGGAACTTACCGGTGATGGTACGGCCGGTGAATTGAAGATCCGGACGGCGGTAGAATGCATGGCGCGGGGTCAAGAAGATTTCTTGCTCCAAACCAATGTTCGCGTACACGCTGGCCGAACCGACGTCGTACTTCATCGCCTTCAGCATACGCTTTGTTTGCTTGTCCAAAGCGTCAGTGGCGCGGTGAAGCGGCGTCTTCTCATCGAGGGCGTCGCCGTTGTAAGAAACGAACGCGGCCGGAATGAAGACGGTATCTTCACGGAGGAAGATCGGCGAGTACGGATCGATGGAGAGATAGCCACCCGCGGTGTGCGTCGCGCGCATGCCACCGTTCGGGAAGGAGGAACCATCCGTCTCCCCTTGGAGAAGCTGCTCGCCCGTGAACGAGTAGTACGGAGTGCCATCCTCGGCGAAGTTGAACATGGACTGGTGCACTTGACCGCTGTTACCGTGACGGACGCCCGAGGAGCCCATCGGTTGGAACCAGTGGCAGTACACAGAGGCTCCATTTTCAACGGCCCAGTCGAGCACAGCCTTGGCGACGATGTCAGCCTTCGCCATGTCCTTCGTCCACTTCCCGTTCGCAAGGAGCGTTGAAGATTCACCGTATTTGCTCAAGTACTTATCCGCGACCGCACCCTTGAAGCACGCGGAGCCGAAGCCCTCTGTCGTCGCCGGCCCGCTGCTCATCGAGAGCATCGCCGTCGTCCGCGTCGCCCGAGTGGCGCGCGCCTTCTTCGCTCCCGCGCGGAGCGCCCCAGCCTTCGGGGCGAGGTTCATCTTTTGGCTCAACACGGACTGCGCGCGGGACGAAGAACGCGTCGATTCGGTCAGCACGCGACGGTGATTAATCGTACACGCTGAAAAAGCGAGCAACCCTGGAACCCTGTAGAGGCTGTTCGTTCCATCGACGCCCGCGCGCGCGTGCGCGATCGATCACGACTCGGACGTGCGCGCGCGCGCGTTGCGTGACGTACCTGCATGTTGATTCGTCCTCGCGCTCGCGGTGTGCGGGCGACGGGGCTCGACGACGAGGCCCTATCGACGATCGAGTTCCCGACGTGTCGACCGGCTGTACGAGATAAAACCACAAATTGGACATTTGGTATGTACTGTGTAAATTCGAAACCTATGTAAAATTACATGTGCGAAGCGTCGCGGGAGGGACCCTCAAGTTTTGGTGGGTCACGACCGGTCGACGTCGACGAGACGGGATTTTGAATCGTCGATCGCGCGTTGGTTCCCGTCGGTTCAGCGCCTCGACGCCGCGGTGGCGGTGGCGGCGGCGGTGGCGCGTGCGCACTCGTGCGCGGCGAGTGCGAGACCGGGGAAAGTCATCGTGACGTACGCGGCGAACACGGCTCGACACTGATCCCGAGTGAGTCGCGCGGCTGGGACGTCGGCGGAGACGCCGGTCGGGAGCGCGCTCGGGTCTCCGTCCGCAGAGTCGAGAAGCTTTTGAATGATCGGTGCGATCTCCTTGTGCGTCGTCGGTGGATGTTCGTAGGCGTTGCGACAGAACCGAAGCAGATCGGCGAAGCCACTGCCGTAAGACTTGGTGCTGTGCTCGCCGCTTCCTTTCGTGGGTTTTTTAGACGCTGATTTGCCGTTAGCATCGACGCCCGCCGATCCAGTGTCGTTGGTTCGCTGTGCGAAGTTGCACACGCGCGCCAAGATTGCAGGGTCCATCTGGCGCTGCCAGTCTTGAAGATCCATCTGAACCGCGGCGAGAAGAGCGCCTCGTTCGCTTTCCCCGCTCAACAACGCTTTAGTGTTGACATTTTGCAGCACGCTCGTCAGGCTCATCTGCAGCTTGGCCGAGCTCGCGTGCAAGTCGCTCACTTTCTCCAGGACTTTGTCGTCATCCCATAGCAACGGATGATTGAGCACATCCTCCGCCGTCGGACGGCGCTCGGGAGTAGGTGAAAGCATCGCGGACAAGAGGTGCCTCGCTTCGATGGCGCGTCGAGGCGTCAGGTGCTTCACACTCATGAGTCGCTGCAGATTGTAGCGCCCGTTCAGGATCTCCTCGTCGTTCGGCCTCGCGTTGGACTCTTCGCCGAATGGATTGTTACCACCCGTTAGAATGTAGAAGAACACGACGCCCATGGCCCATATGTCTGCCGCAGGCGTAAGTGGTCGACGAGCCAACACTTCGGGAGCCCGTCCAGCGAGATTGATGGAGACGCCGTACTTGTTGAAAGTGCCCAATGAATATTGATCCACGTCGCCTTCCTCTTTGCGAAGCCGCACGCCGAGACCGACATCGGCGATCTTGACGTGGCCGTTAGATGTCACGAGCAGATTTTCCGGTTTCAGATCGTTATGCGTAATGCACCCTTGCGTCTTCTCGTCATCGTGAAGCCACGCGATTCCCTCGGCGACACCTGCGAGCAGCTTGAGGCGCTTGATCGAGGATAGCGTCGGTTGACGAGCGATGTGCTCACGAAGGGACTCCGGACAGAGCTCTTGCGCGATGAATACGTTCGAGCTGGTGATGCCCCAACAATGGAAGAAGGGCACCAGAGGAGACTGATTCAGAGCCGTCATCAACTCAACCTCGCGCTCAACGAGTTGTACGAGATCACGCCCCTTCTCCCCTGGAGGTCGTGCGATTCTCTTCACGGCAACAGCATGTCGCGCACGAGATGTATGTCGAACGTAACCTCGGAAGACGTACGTCCCCGCGCTTCCAACACCGATCACTTCTTCTTCGTTGTAGATGATGCTATCACCGACGCGGCGCCAACCACTTGTTTCCTCCGCTGCATCTCCTGCGACTTCGCCGACACCATCTTCGTCCGCCACCGCGTTCGCCCATGCAATTTTGACTTCATCAAGCTCTTCACTGGTATCCGCGGAGATATCGGGTTCGGCTGATTCGAACAAAGGGCCTTGCACAGCGTCGTCACGACCAGAAAAAAGTGCCGTCTGCGACTGCTTGCTAGACACCTTCGGAGCGGATGACTTCGACTGTTTCAACGTCCCACTCGCTGCGTTTGCCATGCGCTGGATCTGCTCGTGCTCGGCCTGAGTGATATCTAGACTTTCCCGCAGCGTCAGCAGCATCTGAGCTCCTTCCGGCGTCACGGATCCGGTAGACCAAGCAACCTTACTTGCCGCAAAGTACGCTCGCAAACGTTGATCGCCACCTTCCAAAGCCGACTCAGCGTCTAGTTCACTCAAAACCTTCTTAGCCCTACGCGTATCCAATTCGGTCGTATCGGGGTCTCGCTGTGCCTCCTCTAGGGCCAAGCGAAGCTCGGTTTTGCTTCTACTTAGAATGGCGGTCTCTAAACGCTCGAGTCTGCGCCAACGCACTAATACTCTCTCCGCCTTCTCGATGAGTTCATCCAGCTGCCACGGCCAAGCTGATGATCTCGCGCGCGCGAGCGCGTCTTCCAACATTTTGACATCATCGGCAGTGATGCCCCCCACCGCTGCATCGCTACCGTTCGTCGCCGGAGTCATAGCTTCCAACAGAGCTGCTCGCGCGCCCTCCATGTTCTGAAGCGCCGTGGCCCGACTCTGGACTCGACTCACAAGAGTGTTCAGTTTAGCCGCCCCTGCTTGCGTCAGAGGCGGTCCACTCGCCGCCAACTTCGTCGCATGTAGCAATAGGGCTTCCAGACGCGGCACCGACTCGATAGTTCTGCTTGACTCGTCCGCTAAAGCGATCCGCAGATCCTCCTCGAGAGCCGCAGCTCGTAACGCTCGCTCAGCACCGATCACCGCTTCTGTCAGCGCGCTACGCGCGTTCTTCTGTTTCGCGCCTCCTTCTGAAGCAGACTCTTCCATCATAGCCGCAAAAGGATCCGGGTCATAGGACGTCGACGCCATTTGCTCGTCTGGATCTTGGTTCAGTTCGTCGACGCTTGCTATGACATCGTCCATGTCCACGCCTCGAAGAAAAATTTGTGCTCGGGCGTACGTTGCCTGTAGCGCTTGAAAATCTAATGGAACCTGTAAGCACGCTGCTCTCAGAGCGTTAGCGAGGGCAAGCTCTTCGGCGGCGCTAGCTTTGCGTCGGATCTCGCGCATCAGCCTTTCTCCTTCTTCTCCCATCGCTCCAAGAGTTCGCGCCTCAGCAAGCGCCTCCTCGAGTACGACAAGCGCACGACCTTGCGGATCATCTTTCGCCGCCTCAAAAGCCTGAAGTACATCCTTTCTCGCCTGCACGCGCTTCACAGACCGGCCGAGCAGAATTTTTGTGCGACCTTCCATCAACGTTTTGAGCCTATCCTTTTCGACGTTTCGCGTCTTGCCTGTCTTCACCGCAACCGCGAGCGAGTTATCTAACCACAGCGTGAGCTGCACGAAAGCAATGTTCTTCTCAAGAAGAAGCTCGACGGCGTTGACCATGGCCTCGCCGTCCGATTCCGCCGCGTCCTCGTCGCCTGGCGCCGAGAGATTCACCAAGAGCACAAGCTTCTTTTGCCCCTTGAGTCGCTTGGCGCACACGTCGCTCGCGGCGACTTCAGCAATCCCACTGCGCGAATACGTCGCAAACTCGTACGGACAATCAGGCCAAAGCCGCTCGTACACGCCCTTGACGTCACCCATCGCGCTTCCTTCCGGCAAGAGGACAAAAACTCTATTCTTCATCGATGCTTGGTCGTCGCCCGTTACTCGCACGCCGCCCGCTGCGGCAAGGGCGCTCGTCACCATCAGCACCGTTCGCAGCGCCAGCGCCGTGGTCGGCTGCGTCCACTTCTCCCACGTCGGCAACGTGATCGGCATCGTCCCACCCTCCGTCCCTGGGTTCTCCGCGCTCCGTCCCGCGCCCAGCGCCCCGACGCTTCCCGGCATGAGCGTCGTCGCTCGCAAACTCGGCACAGGCACGTGCATCGCCACGCTCGGCGTCTCCCCGACCACCAACTTATTCGCCGGAAAGCTCGTGACCTCGTTCACGATCACATCCGTCACCTCCTTCACCACGAGCGTCGTCGACGTCTCGCCGCCCAGGTGCCACCGCGCCACCGCCTCCAGCGCGTCCATCTTCGACGTCGTCGTCACGCTCGGCGGCGCCGGCGCTTGATACACCGTCACCAGCGACGTCAACGACGACGCGCGTTTGAACAATCCATCCAGTCCCGTGGTCCACTCGCGTCCGCGGTCGTCGCCCTCCCTCGTCTCCACGTCATCGCTCCGTCGACGTCCCGCGCGCGACGTCGTCCTCCGCCGCGCGCGCGTGCGCGCGTGCGCGCGTCCCGCGGACGCGGACGCGGACGCACGCGCGAGGCACCGCGTCGCGGACGTCGACGCGTCGCGAGACATCGCGCACGGACGCGCGCGCGCGTGTGCGGGACGACGGACGGCGCGGCGGTGCCACGCGATCGCTCGCTCGCGTCCACCGCACACGACGACGACGGAGGCGACGCGACCGCGATGCGACGAGCGATGGAACGATTGACGCGAGGCGTCGCTCGGGCGTCCGAGCGGGCGATGCGGGTGCGTGCGCGGAAGAAAGCGACGGGAGCGGATGCGAGACGAAGGATGGATGGCTGACTGACGACGCGCATCGGGACGCGATAGGGCGCGAACGGAGGGACGCGGGAGCCCGTGAGCGCGGTGCGCGCGGGCGCGGTGACGGCGGTGGTGACGGGGACGGCGGCGAGCGCGATCGTCGCGGGCGGTGCGTCGGCGGTCGCGTGCGCGGGCGAGAGCGAGAGCAAGAACGCGCGCGCGGCGACGGAGGAGAAGAGCGACGGCGGGAAGGGCATCGGGAAGGGTGAAACGAAGACACCGACGGTGGTGTTCGTGCTCGGCGGACCCGGGGCTGGGAAGGGGACGCAGTGCGCGAACATCGTTCGGGATTTTGCGTTCGTGCACCTGTCGGCGGGCGATTTGCTTCGCGCGCACATGAAGAGCGGAAGTCCGGAGGGGAACATGGTGGCGGAGATGATCAAGCAAGGACAAATTGTCCCGAGCGAGGTCACGGTGAACCTACTCCTCGATGCCATGCGCGCGAGCGGTGAGGATCGATTCCTGATCGATGGTTTCCCTCGCAACAAGGAGAACCGCGACGCATGGGAGAACACGGCGGGATTCGACTGCGACTTTGTTCTCTTCTTCGACTGTCCGGAAGACGTGATGACGACGCGGTTGCTCGGACGCAACGAGGGGCGATCTGACGATAATATTGAGACCATTAAGAAACGTTTTGTCACGTTCCGTGAGAGCTCCTTGCCGGTGATCAACTATTACGAAAAGCTGAACAAGGTCTGCACGGTGAACAGCGACCAGTCTCCAGAGGACGTGTACGCGCAAACGAAGGGCTTCTTTTCCAAGTTTGCGTAGGCGCGGCGCGATAATTATATTATGTTGATGAAATCGAGCGTTGTGAATACAAAGTATTGGCCACTCTCGATTTGATTCAAGTGTGTGTTGGCGTGAGAAATGCTAAGGTTCTTCGGTGCGCGCTCGAGCGGACCATCCGGTGGTCCCGAGTCGTTTCGCGTTGGCGATCTCCGTGTGCGGATCGAACTTATGGTCGCGATCGATCTCCACGTCGATATCGTGCGCGAAGCTTCCGTTTTCCCAAGTGCGTTGATGCTCCTCGGGCAAGTTCCATCCGTGCGCAACAAACTTTCGCAGAAGCGGTCCGTTAAAGTTTGTCTTCAAGCGACTGCGACGCTCCTCCAGTAGCTTCCTAGGATCTTCGTTTCGCTCTATGGATTTCGCCATGAACTCCGCGCGAGCGCGCCACGTGGCGGCCACTTCGGTCTGCACGCGAATGTCACGCTCAAATCTTTCGTTGTCGCTTCGCGCCGCGTGCGACAATCGCGCAATTTCTTGCTTCAGCGCTTCGATCTCCTTTGTCTTCGCCTCTAAAGTCATCTCGAATTCATCCGACTCGCCTTCCATCTCTGTCTGCATGATTTTCATTCTCTTTTGGTGTGTCTCTTGCATTTCCTTCACCTGTTCGGTGGTCTCTTGGACCACGCGACTTTTCATTGCTTCGACGCTCATGGCCTCCGCTTTAGAAGTGGTCGCGTCTGCGACGTTCACTTCGACGAGTTTTCGTAGTTCTTCAATTTCCAATTTTTGAGCAGACGTTTCCTCTTGTAGTTGAACCAAAAGTTCGGTCGCCTTTATCTTTGCGTCCGTGACCGCTGCGAATTCTTCCAAGATTTCAGTTTGACGGAACAACTGCGTTTCGGCAGTTTCAGCGCGCATTACGGCGGCGGCGATGAGTTCGTCGCTCATTCTTTTGATTTCTTCAGCGCGTTCCTCAGCTGCATTCTTTGCGACGAGCGCCGCATCTACGCGAATGGATGCGTTCTGCGTCGTCAACTTCACACGACCCTCCACGATTTTGTCCATCTGCACAATCTTCGATTCGGCAGACGTCAACCTGGCGAGCGCATCCGCCGCCTGTTTGTTTGCGTCCTCCAAACCCTTCGACAAAGCAAGAATCTTTTGATCTTTCTCGGTGACTAAGTTAGACAATCGATCTCGATCTTCGCGTATCGATTCGTGATCCGCCGCAAAGTCCTTCAAAGCTTTTGCTTGAGCGTCCATGGCGGCGATGGTCTCTTCGAGCGCCTTGATTTTCGCCGCGTCTGCCTCGGTCGACTTCTCAAACGATGCTCGCAGCAACATAATCTGGTCCATGGCCTCGGTTCGGACTGACTTCTCGAGATTGGACATGAGATCCGAGATCATTTTTGCTCGCTCGGAGGCTTGCGCTTGCGCGCGATCGGCCGCCGCTCGGTACTTGCTGATGTTCGCCTGTAGTTCCTTCTCCATGCCTTGACGCAAACGTGCCGTAAGGTCGCGCTCGACCTCAGCGTACAACACCGCGCGCTGTCGTTCAGTCTGCCTAGCCGCGTCCATCTTTGCCTTTTCTATTTCTATCTTCGCGTTCACGAGTTCGGCGCTCACGTCTTCGATGCGTTTATTGAGCGCGCGCTCGAGCATTTTTTTGTCGAGCATCGTCTGGTCCAACAGCGCCGCGAGCGCCTTGTTTCGCCGCTCTAACGCCGCGTCGCTCCAATTAATCTCTCCAACACCGATCTGCCACGCTCCTTCCGCCGCTCGCTGATCATCGGTGTCCGCGGACGTCGCGCGTTCGCTCGCCGACTGCTCGTCCCGAGCCGCTCGCGTCACGCGTCCGCCTCGTCCTTCGCGCCCTCCGCGTTTCGCGCGACGCATCGCGCGCGCGTCAACAAACGCACGAGGAGCCACAGACGCCGTCATCGCGCGCGACTCCGCCCGCGCGCGCCGTCACGTTGTTCGATGCGTTCGATGTCGCCCACGCGCGTGGATGCGCGCTTCGTCGACGTGCTCGACGACGACGACGCCGACGACGACGCGCGCGCCGTCAAGATGCGACGAGCGATCGTTCGCGCGATCACGCGCGCGGACGGTGACGACGCGTCGCGGTCCGAGGCGTGGCGGCCACGGGCGCGAGAGGTTGCACGGCGTGCCACCCTGTCGGTCGGTTCACATGACTGGAAGATATTTATCGCGGAACGACGCGCGGGCGGACGGGCGGCGCGGCGGGCGAACGAGGGGCGATTGAGCCAACGTAAAACCGGTGACGATGAGAAGAGATTGCGTCGGTGTATTACACGCATGCGAGCGATCGTGCGGCGGCGTCGACGAAGCTGCGTCGAGATTTTAGACGACCTGCGTTCGGGCGACACCGGAGCGTGTCAGTGGGCGGTTTCCGCTGCGGGCGGTCGGGGTGATTGAGTGCGACGATTAACGATCGTCTCAATCGGGCGGTGATGATACTATGTCGGGCGGTGCCGGCGCCGGCGCCGTGGCGGGGATTCGAACGCATCCTAGACGCGTCCTAGACGACGTGTCAGCCCTGTCGCGCCGCCCAAAAGTTCATCACCCTCCCGAGCAAGTCCGAAAGCGCGTACGCGCCGATCAGCGCCATGATAGGCGTTTGCACGAACCCGAACGCGCTCGACGCGACGCTTTCGTCCACTACCTTGCCCTCTTCCGCTTCTTTCTGTTCCTTCACGTATCGCACGCTGATTGAGTTCACGCAGTGTCGCTCCATTGTCGCCGAGAACCCCTCGTTCTCGAACACGTGCCCGAGGTGTCCGTCGCACCCAGCGCACATAATCTCCACCCGCCGCATCCCGAACGAGTTATCAACCTCCGTCTTCACCGCACCGGTGTAACACTTATCGAACGCCGGCCACCCGCAGCCGCTGTCGAACTTCGCCTTGGCGCTGTACAGCGGCGTCCCGCACCCTCGGCACACGAAGTGTCCCTCCGTCGGGTAGAACTTATCGTACTCTCCCGTGCGTGCCGGTTCCGTGCCCTTTTGTCGCAAGACTTGGAACTCTTGCGCGTTCAGGGTGGATTTCCACTCCGATGCAGATTTCTCCACGCGCACGACGTCGACGCGGTTCGACGCCATCGCGAGAACGTTCGTGCGAAGACGCCGACGCGCGGCGACGCGAGATGAGATGGACGACGAGTGAACGACGTTCGGGCACGCGGCGAGCATGCGTGACGACGGTGCGGTGACCGCGTGTGAGGGATCGGTGGTGTGACGTTCGGTGGTGTAAAGTAATCCAGAGGGTGGGCAAGCGGATCGGACGCGGACGCGGAGCGCGCGGTTTCGTCGCCGCGCGTGGGTACAAGGCTAGAGAATGGCTAGGGCTACGATGGCGAGTGCGAACGCGACGATGACTGATGATCGAGACGTCGCGCTGTGGTAGTAGACGCAATCCTCGATGGAGCTCGAACCCAGGGTGGAGTTGAAGCGGTAGAGCGGACAGCGCTTGCACGCGGAGAGCTTTGTGGCGCCGACGGCGATACCGTACGTGCCGGGACCGCACTTTGTGCAGTTTATCGAACCGGTGACGTCAGCATAGGTACCGGGGTCGCACGGTGTACACGATGACTTTCCACCCAGGAAAGACGAGGTACCGGTCGCACACGGTGTGCACACCGTTTCGTCGCCGGTGACCGCGCCGGTGACCGTGGAGAACGTTCCCGGACGACACGAGTAACACTCTGACAAACCAGTCTCGTTCCCGAACTTACCAGCGGGGCACGGGAGACACTCTTGCGCCCCTTCTATGCTCGAATACCGACCGATCGGGCACGGCAGGCACACGTCTATGTTCGTTCCACCCTGCTCTTCACCGTACGTCCCTGCAGGGCAGGCGTCACAAAGGGCTGTGCCCGGATTCGGCGCGTACGACCCAGGATCGCAATCGGCGCATGTCGTCGCAGCCTCAAGCGAGTACTGCCCCGCAGTACATAGTAAACAATTGGACGCGGTGGAGCTTCCTTCGACTGTAGAGTAGGTTCCCGCGGGACAGTTGATACAGGAGCTGTTACCAGCAGTTGGCATGAACGTTCCTGCGAGGCAGTTGTCGCATACGATCGATCCAACTACATCTGAAAATGTTCCCGGGGCGCACGGCTGACAAGTTGACGATGTTTCCGCGCCATCTACACCTGAGGACGTCCCGGCGGGACATCCAACGCACTCGGTGCTACCCAACACAGCCTGATACGTCCCTGCGGCGCACTGAGTGCATACAGTTTGCCCCACAAGGTTTGAAAACGAGCCGGCGGGGCACGGTAGACACGCTGCCTCCGAACTCGCACCTGGGACGTTAGAATACGTCCCCGCCGGGCACGGAACGCACTCAGCACTTTCAGCGGTGCGATACGAACCAGCAGCACACGGGGTACACGTCGTCTTTCCCTCGCCATCAGATGTTGAGCCAGCGGGGCATGGTAAGCAATCGTCCTCTGTCTGGCTCCCTACAACTGTAGAGATTGTTCCGACAGGACACTGAACACACGCTTCAAGGCGCTCAGTCGCCGCGTACGAGCCAGCGGCACACTGTGTACACGTAACACTGCCAGCTGTGGCGCTAAATGTACCTGGATTGCAAGGCAAGCACTCGCCTTCGCTTTTTGCGCCAGTAGATTCCAGGTACGTGCCTGCCGGACATAAATCACAGCTAGACTGCGCTGTATTCGCTTGGTACTGTCCAGCAGGACATTGTTCGCACGGTTTATCTCCCTGCGAAAAGAACCCCGCTGGACACTCTTCGCAATCCTCAATCGTCGTGCTGCTTATTTGCTGTGAGTACGTACCGGCGGGGCATTGTTGGCACGCAGAGGTGTCATCACGATCTCCAGTGCCATAAAAGCCCATGGCACAAGGAGTACATTTCACCATACCTTCATACTTAGATTCATAGCCCGCGGCACAGTTCACGCAGTCATCGATCGACTGAGCGCCCGCACTGGATCCTTCTTTCCCAATCGGACACTTCTTGCACTCGCTCTGGCCTGTCTGATCCTGATACGTGCCTTCGTTGCAAACCGTACATGAGCCTCCTGCAATTGCATTGTACTTGCCCGTCCCACAAACCTGACACGCCTGCCCTAAGCTGGTCCCATTGCGCACGTCAATCTTTGCCTCGTACCCTACCGGACAAGGAGTACATTTTGTGGCACCTTGCGTGTCGCTGTACGTGCCAACTTCACACGACAAACACGCCTCCGCTCCGGGTGCGTTCATGTAGAAACCCAACGCGCACGGCACGCACTCGTCAACGGACGTCATGACCGCAGTCACATTACCACTCGTACCCGCTGGACACGGTGTGCACTGCGGTCGTCCACCAGGGGAGTACTTTCCGAGGGCACATTGTTGACACGCCGACGCTCCAGCTACGTCTGCATCGAATCCGGCTGGACATGGAGTGCACGTTGCAGATCCATTATTCGCAGCGAACGTCCCAGGGGGACACTTGACACAGTCAGCCTCCTGCTGCGAGCCCATGCGATCGTTAAATGTCCCAGCAGGACACACTTTGCACGTGCTCTGACCGATGCTATCCTGGTACTCACCCTTCGCACAAGGTGTGCACGTCTGACTTCCATTCGCCACACTCTTTGTGCCCCGTGGACAGTCTTCGCAAAAGATGGAAGAGAAAGATCCTTCGAACGGCACGAACTTGCCGGCGGCACAGAACGAGCAAGCGCTGCTCCCGGTCGTCTGGGCATACTGCCCGGCCTCACAAAGCTTGCAGGATGAGCTCGCACGTCCGTCTTGGTACTGACCTACTGGGCACGCCTGACACGCAAATGATGTGAAGTCATTCGTGTAACTCCCAGCAGAACAAGCTGTGCACCGTCCAGTCGTAGTGTCCCGTTCATACCCAACGTTACACGATAGTCGCAGTGCGAAAGACGATCCTCCCGCGGCGACCACCGCCGTCACTTGCTGCAGCGCCGCGACGATGACTGGCGTGGCCACATACTCTATGTCGCCGTACAGCCCTAGTTCGGTTTTTGATACGTAACCACCTTTGAATGGACGTGCGGCACCCATAACGAGCGCAGACAATTCGGCGTTCGAACTACCGGAGCGGCCGCTAGCGTCTTGAAAGTCAGAAAAAGCCGAGAAAATCGTCTTGGACGTAGTAGACGACCCGTACACCGCCAACAAACGTCGTCGACTAGACACACTCGATGACCGACTCCAGCCTCTCAGAGTCAACGTCATATTACGCTCAGTGTCATCCGCAGGTCTTGGCTCTGTACCAAGCTGTCCATACTCATTCGACCCCCAGGTGAAAACTTCTCCGTAGTCGCTCACGGCCACGGTGTGGGAGCGCCCGCATGACACAGAATGTATTTTGATATTCGCATCAGAGAGAATCTGGACTTTCGTGGGCTTACCTCTGTCCACGCGGTCACCATGACCCAACTGCCCAAATGTATTCGAGCCCCACGTGTACAACTCCCCAGTGGACGCAATCGCGGCCACGTGCGACTCACCAGCCGCGATAAACACTATCACTTCGTCTCCTAACGTTGTTAGTGGCTGTGGAACTAATGCGCGTTCCACGTTTCGGCCATCTAGCACTAAACCCAGTTGACCATTTTCGCCGTAACCCCACGCAAACACGCGGCCACCACCAGCACCCGTCTCATCGGCCGCCGTCAAGGCCATAGAATAGCGTGCGCCAGCCGCGATCGCTGCAAACTTGACGTTGGCTCCAACAGCAACAATCTGCGGTGAATCTGTGTATGGCATCTCTGGTGCGCTTTCTCTGCACTCGCCTAATCCATTTCCATATTTGCTAATTTCACACGGCTTGAGACCTAATTGACCCTCAATATTGCTTCCCCACGCCCAAATATCACCGCTAGACGTCAAGGCAAGGGTGTGAAACTCTCCTGACGCGATGTCTACGGTCACAACTCCTCGGAATCCGTTGTTAACGACTCGCGCCGGGAGTGATTTACTCTTCTTGAATGCCTCAGATTTGATGCTCTGCAGCATCCCCGGCATCCAACCGCGACCAAGTTGACCAAGATCATCGGCACCCCATGTGTAAACCTTACCACTTTCGGTCATCGCGACGACGTGGAACGCTCCCGCGGCGAGTTTCGTGATAAGGGCGAGCGACCCAATGCGCACGGGTTGTGCAGCGATAGTCGATGCACTCGGAGTTACCGTTTCGAGTCCTAATACCCTACGAGCGTCGTATCCCCATCCCCATACATATCCGGACTCGTGTTCAATGCCAAAAACCGTTTCACCAGACAATGTTGCCGCGATATAGGTGAACTGTTTCACTTGAGCAAAATTTGTGTTCGTTTCGGGAAACGTCCTCGAAATGTCGTCTCCCAACGAGAGCTGTTTCATTCCGTTATCGCCCCAGCCGTACACGACTGAGCTCGAATTTGCCTGTTTCATAAACTGCCCGTTATTCTCCGCGTCCGTACCGGTGAGAGGCAGCGTTAAATTCGGGTTCCACCAATCTACGGCGTCTATGGTATTCATGTCCTCGCTGCGCGTCACCCACATCGCTTTACACGCTCGCACGAATCTCGACAAGCTCGCATCGAACACCTTCACGGTTATATTGATGGAGCTTTCGTCGCTGCAGTTCCCAGCACCATCGATCAACCGATACGTCAACGAGGTTACGATCGTTCTTCGTGTCTCCGTCGTATCGCACGTCGCCGTCGCGTTCGGCGCTACGTAATACGCCGTCTGCGAAGTCAACCTTCGACCTGTGACATTCCCCGCGTTCGCGCACGCGGTCGTCACTCCCAGTGTCGACACCGTCGTTGTCAGCCCTTCATCGGTGTACAACGTCCCGTAATCCGGATCTGTCGATCCTACTATTATCGTCTCCAGCGCGTCCCCCGAACCGTCAGCCGTCCCAGGGAAACTCAACGTCGTTCGCGAGTACGCCGTCGCCGTCGCGCTCGAGGACGACGGTACCGACGGTACGGCGCGTGTCAACGTCACCAGCGAGAACACGAGCGCTACGAGCGCCCACGCAGATGACGAACACCGAGACATTGGTTTCGTCGGTTCGCCAACGACCGCGCTCGAGCGTCGACGTTCGGGCGTCGTGCGCGTTCGCGACGCCCAGAGACGAGCACGAGACGGTTAAAAAGTCGGCATCTCACGCGCGACGTCCACCGGTGGTCGAGCGCGACGCGCGGACGAGTGCGGGACGGCGATGCGATTGTTTGGCCGCGGGCTGTTTTCGATTTTTGATTTCATGGGTCAGCCGCTTTGGCGCGCCTCTTTACCTATCTCTAATGGTCGCACCCGTCCACGCGACAGGACCACTTACAATTCTCGAGCATGAACGACGGATTCTTATCGCATTCTCCGATATTCGCCCAGCCGCGACATCGATCGCTCTTATCCTCGCACCCTATGGTCGGGACCGGGTCGGGCGGTTTGATCCAGTTGTACGGGTCGGCGTGGACCCAGATGGTGGCCGTCCACTTTGTGCCGCGAGTCGGCGGGCACCCGACGTGCAGGGCACGGTGATCGATCGTTCCGTCCGGTCGCACGGACCAAAACATCAATCCATCGCCGCGCGTGGGTTTCATCGCCACGCGCCTATGGGCGCACTTCGACCACGTCTCTGTCTTCGCGCGCTCGGGATCGATCCACTCGCTATCGGGAAACGCCGTCTCCCCACCCTCTTCCGGTTCCTCCAGGTACAAAAGTATCGTCGCCACCCTCTTGCCACCATTTTTACTGAGCTGATCACCGCTCTTCGTACCCTCTTCACCCACGTCTTCGTGCGCGTCGTACTTCTCGCCCGCCGAGTACTCGAGCACTTGCAAGTCTTCGCAGTGATACCACGGCAGGTGTGTCACCGAACTCATCCGCTCCAACACCTTACGCACCACAGGATCGTTCCTAGACAAGAACGTCTGCTTACTCGTCCGAATTGGATTCACCACGCTCTTCCCAGACTCGCTATCGATCACCGTGCTCCTCGCGACGCGCGTTCGCGCGAGCGCCAAGATTGCTCTCATCTCCGTCTCATCGAGCGCATTTCTCAGCGCAAACGCCCTCGGGTACCAAGACAAGGGTTCAACCGCGATCACACGCGCGTCTCCCATCGCCCCTTTCGTCTCAGACAACGTCGGGCGCGCGTTCACTCGCGCCGTGGACGATGTCGAAGACGATTCCATCGACCCATCTCTCGACACGCTCCCCTTCGACGCGCGCCCGAACGCGAACGAGACGACGCACGCGAGCGCGAGACGAATAAACTTTCGCGTTCGCGCCGATCGCGGTCGACGCGACGACGCGGGCGCGGCGAACATGGACGACGCGCGTCACTCACTGACGCACAACTTTCTGAACGACCGCGCGTCGATGCGTTTCTGCGGCGTTCCCTTGCTCCGCCCGGACGCCTCGACGCGAGCGAACGCGCGAACGCTTCGCGATGATCCCAACGCCGCGCTCGAGCGAAAAATTACGGTGAATTCCATGCTCGTCGTCGCGAACGGGGCGAAAGATGGGAAGGATTGCGACGAGGTGAAACGCATGGCATCCGCGCGAGGCATCGCGTGTTCGGTCGTCAAGACCACGGGCGTGGGACACTGCGTCGAGATCGTTCGCGATGCGGACTTGAGCGGCGTGGACGTCGTCGGCGTCGTGGGGGGGGACGGAACGTTCCGTGAGGCGGTGCAGGGATGGATCGAGCGGGCGAGCGACGGCGAGACGGTTACGGAGGAGACGGCGCTGTTGGCTTTCCCGTGCGGGACGGGGAATAATTACGCGAGAGACTTAGGAGTGAAGACGATCGAGGACGCGTTCGGGAAGGTGGACGCGGGGAAGTGTCGTAAGGTGGACGCGGTGAAGGTACGAGACGGCGACGGCGCCGAACACGTCTCCGTCAACGTCGTCACCTGGGGCATGGCGCGAGACGCCGCGGAGACCGCGGAGGGAATGCGATGGATGGGACCGCTTCGATACGACGTCGCTGGATTATGGCACATCTTGCTCAACAAGCAAAACAAGGGCACCATCGGTGTGAGCGAATCTTTTGAGGGAGAAATCGCGAGCGAGACGAACGATTACTTGATGCTGTTCGCCCAAAACACTCGCTGCAGCGGTCGCGCGTTCGCCTTCACCCCCCTCGCCGAGCTCGACGATGGTTTTTTCGACGTCGTCGTCTGCGACAAGGGTTCGATGCTTCGCACGAAGAGTCTCTTCGACGCCACCAAATCCGGAGGCGGCCACGTCGAGGACGCGGGCGTGAAATACGTGCGCGCCAAGCGTCTCTCTCTGAGCACCGAGTCCCCGGGCGAGCGCGTGGGCATTGACGGTGAGCTCACCGTCCCGACCCCGATCCACTTGACCGTCTTACCGGGTGCTTTCACCACCTTAGTCTAAACGCGCTCGACGCCAACGCGTTCGCGCGTCGCCGTCGCGCGGTTCCAATATCCCATCCCCCCGGGGGCGGTTTTCAACTTTTTCAACTTTTATCCAAACATCCGTCGACGCGGCGACATTCTCCACCGCACGAGACCTTTCCACCATCATGCGCGCCGTGAGCGCGAGAAACGCGAGCGCTTTGTTCGCCGAGCGTGCGTGTCGCGCCCAGCTCCGCGCGACGCGACGACGACCGTGACGACGACGACCGTGACGTCACCGGCGGCGGGACGACCAGACTGACGTAATCTTTCCGTGTGTTCGTGACGACGCAGGCGTGACGAACGCGAAGAGCGCGACGAAGACGAACAGACGGGCGCGTGTTGCGACTTCGGCGTCCGCGTTCGAGGTCGCGCGCGTCGTGCTCGCGGCGCCGACGATGTACGCGCTCGTCTCGGCGAATGAGTACGTGACGCACCGGTACTACCAACACGCCGAGTTCAACAAGAACGAGACGCTCAAGAAAGTATGGTGCACACTCACGGGGAAGAAGGAGGCGCCGAAGATTGGTGGCGGAGGACACATCGAGCATCACGCCGAGACACTGGATGATATGTCCTTGCGCGTCGACGATAAGTGGATGAAGAGCGAACCTGCGAAGATTTTGGTCGGTAACAAGTACCGCGGCACAGCATTTAACTGGGACGTCACGGGCTTGATGCTCGGTCAAATGGTCATTACGTGTGTGCCGGTGCTTTCGATCATGGGTTACGGCTTCGTGGCGCAAGCCGCGCTCATCACCACGTCCACGCTCGTGCACGCCGCGGTGTGGAACTCGCTCCATCCGGCGATGCACGGCCTGAACGAGATCCCGATGTCCGAGGGTCTTTCGGGCGCTTGGTTGAACCGATACCGTGACTCGAAGTACTACGATTACCTGTACCTCAACCACACCGGTCACCACGTCATGAGCGGCCAGTGCAACTACAACGTGTGCTGCCCGCTCGTCGACCACATGATGGGCACGTATGTTGAGCCGGAGAATTGGATGCCGAAGACTCGGGTGCCGTTCGGCAAAGAGCACCGTGCGTTCTACCCGGCGGGCGAATACGCGCGAAACTTGGCGGCGAAGGCGGCCGGTAAGGTGGTGGAGGAATTCGATGGCCAAGCTTCTGTTGACGAAGAGCTCGTCGCCGCGTAAATCGATGGCGCATATTTTTCCCCATGGATTCAGTTTGATTGTTACTATTCTTATTCTATTCGGCTTAGAACTGCAACCGTGAGGTTAGCGGTGTATAGACCACTAGTCGAGAGTTTGTGTTCATTGTTACCCCGATTTTTTAATCCTCTACCTCAGCGACTTCTCATATTTCCTTGGCATCGCGCGCGCGAGCATCATTGCTTGCACGCACACAGCCAGCCATCGTCTTCCTGAGGGAACATCCACCACGAGCCATCATCCGCTTCCTGCATGCAAGTGGTGAACAACGCTGGATACTCAAGGTCGACCTCGCCAGTGGTGAAGGAGAAGCGTACTTGATGGCGCTCCTTCCAGCGATAGAATAACTTGGGCGCCGGGAGCATTTGGAAAACGTGGTCTCTGCACTCATCATTGGTGACGAGAACAGCCTTATCACCAGCGTGAACTGCGGCGTACAGCCAATACCAATCGTCGTTTGAACCGTGCGCCGTGGTGAAGAGCTCGCCCGCGGAATCCCATTTAGCCAGGCGCTCTTGATTTTGTGGCTTCCGCGCCGGTCCGTTCTCGACGCGGCGTTGATGCAAAAACACCATCGGCGGCGCATCTCCTTCTCGTGCGTTTTGACGAAGCTTCTCGAGCACTTTCTCAACCTGATTGAAGTTCATGCCCGACGTTGAGAAGTTTTGGTTGTACATCCCAACGTTCGCGCCATCCACAACGGCGTTCATGCCATCCTTTTTTCCTTTCAGCCAGTTCATGAAGTTTTCGAACTCAGAGATGGCCTCCCGTTCGCACGCTAATTTTGCTATGCCTGAAAGGAGATTTTCGCGTTCGTCTTCTGTCAAGCTGATGGCTTTGAGCTGAATTTGGATGCGCTTTTCGTCCATGACGAGCACGGCCACGGCGGTTCCCGCCTCGTCCACGCTCACTTCGTCCGCGACGCACCATCCCGGAGCGGCACCAAACCACACTCGTAGCTCCTCGCACATTTCATCGCTCGGGCATCGAATCTCCGTGCGCATCTTACGTAACATGTCGAAACCCGCGTCGAACTCCTCTGCGATACGATACGCCTTTAACATCTCCATGAATTCCAACTCGGTGGGCAACAATCCGTGGCCGCGCATGATCGCGTCCACCCTCTCCATTTTTCGCAGATCACCGCCTCGCGCGCACGCGTGCAAAGCGCACGCGTACGTCCGCACTTTTGGGGTCAACTTCTTCTCCTTGCATAGAGCCGCCGCCTCGAGCGCTCCGTCCACGTCCCCGCTCGCCGCTCGCACGCGCGCCAACGCGGTGTAGCTCATTTCATTCATCGCGATCCCGTGTTTCTCCATGTACGACGTGATCTCCACAGCCTTATCTCCTCGAACGCACTCCGCGCTCGCCATTCCGCTCGTCCACGCGCCCGAGCCGCCCGCGCACATGTGCAACAACACGTTACACGAGTGCGGCGCGAGAGTGTACGTCCCTTCTTTCTCTCGCGCCTCCTCGAACGTCTTCCAGGCGGCGTCGAACTCGTCTCTTTGGCACGCCGCGTCGATCGCTCGACGGGCGACGGCGGCGGGACCGAAAGGGTCGCCGCCGCGCTTTTTGCCGGCGGCGCCGTTGGCGCGCTCGGCGCCGCGTTTGCGCTTGAACGACGCGTCTCGCGCGCTCTGCGCGGGTTCGTCGGCATCGAGACGTCTGCGGGTTTCTTCGTCCAGGGGCATTTTGAAGACGCGAGCGGGGCGCGGTGTGCGGGGGGCGTGCGCGCGTGCACAGTGTCACAGAAGAAGTTCCTTTGAGGTTACACCCGTCATCGCCTGAGCGATGGCTGCGAGAAGAGCGACGATGCTGGGGCGAGAGCGTACGACGAGAGCGGGGATGAATGGCGTTGTGCGGCGTCATTCCGTTCGGCGTCGCGCCTCGCGCGGAGCTCCTCGCGCTTGGCGAAACGCTCCTCTATTTGACGCTCAATGTCGTCGATTTGCGCTCGCTGCTTTTCGATGACGTCCATAATTCTGTTCTTCTCTTCGTCGGATATTTGGATCTCGTCGGCGGGAGCAATGTCTTGCCGCAGGCGTGCAGCCGCGGCTAGGGCCTCGGCGCGTCGCGGAAGTGACGCGGCAGAACGGTTCACGCGCTTGCTGAGATCCTTGAATCTGTTCAGGAGCTCGATTTCCTCTGCGGAAACTGGCGGCGTCGCCCCACCGTTAGCGTCCGCATAGCTCTTCATCTGCTGTTGGTTTATCGCGCGGAAAACCTTGATCAGTCTGTGCTGATGCTCCATAGCTTTATTCTTGATGTTCTGCATGCGTCTGGTCATCTCTGTATTGGCCCACTGCATGATTTGTCTCGTCGCCGTTTCGACGGCTTGCACGAACTCTTCCTGCGCCTTGATCTCTGTCGACGCCTCTGTCTTACGCCGCATCAACCCCTCAAAACCATCGTATTGGACCGGCCACAAGCAATCGGGATTGTTCTCCCCCCCGACTGCATCCAAGAGTTCGCGCCATTTGCGCTCGCTTACGTTTTGCGGCTTGACGCGCATGCGCGGATCCTTCACGACGTTGTAAAAGTAAGTGCGGAACTTGTAATCCGGATGGTTCGGGTTATACGCGTTGATTATCTCCTGCATCTCGCGCGAGGGATCGAGGGACGACGGATGTTCCTCTATGTGGGGCCGCTGGAACAGTCCACCAGGCTGTTGCGTCGTCGTCAAGGCGCCAGCCGAGGGAGAAGGCGCAGCACCGAACAAGCCGGCCCCTCCGCCACCGATCAAAGCGTTCGAGGTGGACGGAGTGGATCCAAATGGATTTGGCGTCGCGGGAGCCGCGCTTGCGGACGCACCGAATAGACCACCGCTCGGCGTGCTTGGCGCCGCGCTTCCAAACAAACCACCACCCGCGCTCGAAGCTGGAGCTGTGCTTCCAAAGAGCCCACCACTAGTCGTAGCGGTGGGTGCGGCGCTCCCGAACAAACCACCGCTCGTGCTCGAGGCGGGAGCTGCGCTTCCAAACATACCGCCTCCCGTTGAAGCCGCAGGAGCGGCTCCGAATAAGCCTGCACTCGAAGTGGGCGCCGAACTTCCAAACAAACCACCGCCTGTGGATGCCGCGGGCGCCGCACCGAACAAACCGCCTGCTGTAGTCGCTGGACTCGAAGCAGCCGTGCTGGCAAACAACCCACCGCTCGTTGTCGCGGGAGTCGGCGTCGCGCTACCGAACAATCCTCCGCCCGTCGACGCCGCGGGAGCCGCTCCAAACAGACCACCGGCAGAACTCGAAGCCGGCGTCGCGCTACCGAACAATCCTCCGCCCGTCGACGCCGCTGGCGCAGCGCCAAACAGACCACCGGCAGAACTCGAAGCCGGCGTCGCGCTACCGAACAATCCTCCGCCCGTCGACGCCGCGGGAGCCGCTCCAAACAGACCACCGGCAGAACTCGAAGCCGGCGTCGCGCTACCGAACAATCCTCCGCCCGTCGACGCCGCTGGCGCAGCGCCAAACAGACCACCGGCAGAACTCGAAGCCGGCGTCGCGCTACCGAACA